AGTGAACATTTTTTGCAAGGTAAGATTCTTGTTTTCTTTTTAGAATATCTTCCATCTTTCATGGCACGCCTGCTAATGCTGTCATTATTAACGGGAGGTTTAGTCACCATCTACCACCATACGATGCTAATCCCTCAAACTTTTGCTGTGTATGTGACAATAATCTGGTATACAGCAAAAAGACATTAAAATATCTTGTAATTCTCACTTTCTGGATCAGTAGCTAATATTGTGCATTGATATCTGTCTGTCTGTCTGATATCTTTTATCAGGGCAGAAGAGTGATGACCCCTTGTCACCCAATTATGTGCCATCTGTGTTTGCACATATTAAATCCCCCGCTAAAAGGCGAGCAATGGGAAGTCTAAAGGAGTATGAAGTGAGACAGGCCATGAAGAAAAAGAAGAGGGAGGAGTCTTCCAGACATGAAGCTGCCAGATCTCTTCTCAATCTCAGCTGAGGTCTCTGGGTCATTGTTCATTGCAGACGGTGAGGAGACTGCTAATAATGACATAGTTGCAGGGACGAAATTTTGATTTCAGAAGTGGGGGGGACACAGCAGGCTTGTGCGGATTTGGGGTGGGGGGTGTTATGTAAAGACCCCTTGACACGTCACGTGCCCATCACAATAATTTTTCCATCCTATATATATATATATATATATATATATATATATATATATATATATATATATATATATATATATATATATATCAAAGTTAAAAAATGTACAACTCTATTATTATTTTTATTTATTATCATTATTGAAGTGCAGTTTTGGCTGTTGACAATGGATAGGCCATTGTATTTATTGTTTTGGGTCTTTTTTATTGTTTTTGGTGCAACATTTTCTAACAGGGAGTGAGATTCCTTTTTTATTCAATTTTTGTTTGTTATTTTTATTCATTTAGAAGTTCTGGTTCTGGACATTTCAATGTTAAATTAAGGTTTATTTGTTGCATTTTAAAGGGTGTACTTGCATTATTATGATATATTAACATTATATTAGTGGTTATTTTGGTCTAGATAATGTTGACAATATCGTTTATCATCAACAATTTGTTGGACAAAATATCGTCCAGCAAAATGTGTTACTTTCCCAGGCCTAGTCAAAAGTATAAAAATTATTTATACATAAACGGTCCCTCCTGAGATCTGGCCGTTTGTTCATTTGCTGTGTTAGAGGACATGCTGAACTAATGTTTTACACATGATCATCACCCTAACATTTGAGTGTATAAAAACATATTAAATATGTTTTTCCCTTAAAAGTGTTTAAACAGTTGTTGCATTTCAACACACAAAAAATAAATGGAAAAAATAAGATAAATCTAATGAAAAGTGTACATCTTTGACATTAAGCTTAAAAAAATCTGTTGACGATGATGATACTGTTCATTTTTCAGAGCTTTTTAATGTGAAAATATACATTGCAATAGATAGGTTTACAATAAAGTTAAATGATAAGAGTTTTGAAGTTACACTTCTACTACTACTAGTAATAATAATTATGATGATAATAGTAATAATAAAAAAATAATTATTATAATAATACGAACAAATTGTGTCTGAGGAGTCAGTTATGTGGAGGAGATGAGTTTGTAAAAGTTAGTTTTGAGTATGTTTGTGAAGGAGGAGGTGAGTCTGAGCTTAATGCAGGGGTGTCACATGTCCAACTTACGTTTTGACTTTGAAAGAAGTCTCTTATATCCACTTTCGTTTCTTGACATGCTGCCTCCTGGCTGTGCATAACTACCAAAGACTCACAAATGAACACTTATTCAAATGTTATATAATGGAAGCTGAGCTGAGCTCTGATATTACACAGCGTCTAGTTGACGATGTGACTCAGTACCGGTGTTCCCTAGCGGCTCCAAACTAGCAAAACAACGTGAGCACGTTCTGACTGTTTACAACTTGAGTGACAGCAGCAACAGCCAATAATACGTTAGCAAGTATCAGCAGAGCCAATAGATTAGCTTTTGGGTGGGTCTAATAGGAAACCGGTTTCCGTTTCGGTCCTAGTGCTCAACCAAATCCATTTAATGGAGCGTAACATTGTTTTTGGACGGAAAAAAGTGCAGGGGACCAAAACTGCCTTTTGAAAAAGTGGGGGGGACATTTCCCACCCGTCCCCCCCCAAAATTACGTCCCAGCATAGTTGACAACTCAAAATGTGATGCAATGTACCAAACAGAGCTAACTTCAGAGAACATTAAATCCCTTCAGTTTGAGTGTCAACAACTCCGGGGCGAGACTTTTGCTGTGCAAGAGAAGCTCAACTCAGACATTCTTGAACAGGGCAGTTTTGAAAAACCAAGACAAGCTTAAAGCGTTAACAGGACTACACAGTTATCAGGTGTTAACTGCAGTGCTCGACTTTGTAAAGCCAGCCCATAAAAACACTGCCAACCTCACATGCTTTCAACAGCTACTCAATGAGACTGAGACTGAACTTACCAATATCATTTTTATCTTATCAGCTTGGTGTTCACAGCTCTACCATTTTCAGAGTTTTTACAAATGTAAGCAATGTCCTGAATGAGATTTTAGTGCCTGTGTGTGTTTTCTGGCCCCAGAGACAGCACGTCCAAACATCTGTGTCATTGTGTTTCAGAAAGTCCTTCCAGAGTGGCATGTCAGTAATAGGCTGTTTTGAGATAGCCATGGAAAAACCCAAAGATTTGAAAGCAAGGGCACAGACGTACTCTCAGTACAAATCCAAAAATACAGTGAAATACCTAATAGGTGTTTCTCCACAAGGGGCCATCTGCTTCATCTGAAAGGGCTGGGGTGGACGAACAACAGCAAACGTTGGCTTTTTGGACAACTTGCTACCCGGAGACTTGATCCTTGCTGACCGTGGGTTCACCAACCAGAACCAGGTCGGGCTTTATTGTGCCAAGTTTGAAACTCCTGCCTTTACCATGGGCAAAAAAACAGCTGGGTGCTGTTTAACTAGAAGACAGTAGAAAACTAGCTGCTGTTCGCATACACGTTGAGAGAGTAATTGGACAAGCATGATCAAAGTATAAAGTATTGCATGTGCCTGTCCCTATTAGCCATCTGATGAAATCAAGTGATGAATCAAGAGTACACCACTCTAGATAAAATAGTGAGAGTCACATGTGCTCTCACCAATCTGTGCCCCTCAGTAGTGCCAGTTGATTAATCAAAAAACTGTTGCTGTTCTTTTACAGTTGCCATGCTTTAATTATATATAAGAGAGAGAGAGAGAGAACTGGTCTGACTGGTTTGTAATTTCCTAATGTAAACAATGTGATTGCATAACATGTAAATGGTGCATAATAAATAAACTGTGTTTATAAAATGTATTTGACTGTTTTTACGCACAGACACAGAAAAACAATTGAAATTATAAGGGTTTGTGTTTTTAGATAACTCATATCAACTACACAAATTTAATTATAAAAGCGTTTGACTACTTTTGTTGTCCATCATGGCGATGACACGTGATCAGATGACGTAGGTGCAAAGGGTAAATATAGTGTGGGGACCTCTGTTGAGCAGGACTCACTCCTGAGGTTGCTTTAAGAAGGCTGCCTCTGTTACTGTCTCCTCATTTTGATATTGCAATATCGAAATTAAACCCTTTTGATTGAATCATGGACTGCTTTTTAAATATTTTATTAAGTCTCTAAAAGAAATTCCACAACAGATTTAAGAAAATACCAATATGGCAATTTATTGTGATATTTTTTCCAGTGATAATATATCGATATTAAAAAGCCAGGTATCAAATTTTTAGAAGAATTTACATTTAACCATTTGTGTATTTTATTTTATTTTGTTGCAATTCAAATGCCGACCGCTATTTGGCAGCAGTGGGTTTTGTTTCCACCATTGAAATGTTAATCCCTACATTATGTTTCAGATGCCTCATGTTAAACATGTTATGTATCAGTTTGGACTGTTTATTGAATTTTTCTACAGTAAAGTCAGTCTAAAAAAATCCCTAATATCGTCTGGCTGAATGTTTGGCAATATTTTGTGATATAGTAAGTATGTAAGTAAGTAAAGTTTATTTATATAGCGCCTTTCACAGATATATATCACAAAGCGCTGTACAACATGAGTAAAATCAGGGCAAATACCTCAAACCAATAAAAACATCATAAAAACAATAGCAGTGTCAACAATAGTTACCAAAATCAGGAGTAAAAACAAAGTCAAGGTGTGAACAAGATCATAGCCATCTTTTAGAATATTTGGTGGGGGAAAGCCTGGATAAAAAGGTGAGTTTTAAGATGTTTTTTGAAGACCTCTACAGATTTCAAGAGACGGAGATTTGAAGGCAGACTGTTCCAAAGTCTGCCTTCAAATATATATACTGTATCTTCTCTCCTGTATATGATGCACATTGTGTCACCAGAATTTCACCAATACACATCCCTAGTGTGTAGTTTATAATATGCATTTTAAGCATAAGTTGAAACTCCAGCTCAGAGAGGCAGGTTCTTCCAAAGGTCAGTTTTCATTTGATAGATTGCAGACAGGAGTAGTAGGTTTTCAAGTGGTGCTTGTAGACTGACTGAGGCTGATTTGGGTTATGAGACGGCTCAAAAAACTATCACAGAGCCGGTCAGACTGGATGACCACAGATATGCAAACAACCCTCATGTTCACAGCTTTTTTACACAACTATGTTCCCAGCAAGAGATTTGACTAGTACGGCTGCAAGGCAGTGTGTTTCAGGTTTAAGGCAACAAGTGTACTTCCTGGTTTATATATATTCATATATATATATATATATATATATATATATATATATATATATATATATATATATATATATATATATGATGTTTTGCCAGGCTAAGAAAGAGGATCTGCATTATTCATTGGCATGTCTCTAGTTATCAGACCAGGCCTTTCCCCAAAGTGTTTTGTAAATCATTTTACATTTTCTTGTAGTTATTGATCAAAGCCACCTAATTTGTTTATTGCTAATTTACTTGTGTTTGTGTTTTAATTAACAGAGTCCTGTATGTCTACATCTACTCAAATAACAGGTAAATCTTGTCTAGCCTATTTACTCGTTTCTGGTTCTTCATTTTCTTCCAAATCCAACTTCTTTCTGAGTGTTCTGTAACCAGCAGCCTGTTCACGTCTTTATTTAAATTCCAGCAATTAGTTGGAAGCTTTGTGTGTCCCAGAACAGACCAGTCCAATCCTCTCTGTTTTAAAACACATTTACAACACGAATGATGGACATTATGTTGATAAGAAAACTGCCATAAATCAAGCTAATGTATTCAACACTATTAAACCTGCAACAGTGAAAATTAAAACATATTTGACCTTGGGGCTTTTTATTTTGAGGGGTTCTATATAAAACAATTGTTTCTTCTCTTTCTTCAGATTTCGATTCAAGCTTAGTGACACTGGAATAAGTCAGCTTGAGTGAGTAACACACATGAATGCACGGACATACACGCATACACACCTACTGGGGTAAATCTTATCATAGATCGTTTAAAGGAACTAGAAGATCATTCATCCAAAGCTTCAGGAACTTTCACCTCTGACACACACACTTCTGTGTGTGAGCCTCTCATCAATCTTACTTTTGAAGCAGAGCAAAGGTGCTAATCCAAGCCTGTCATGGAAACCTAAACATGTCTGAAACAGGTTTTATGTTAACAATATAGAATATGTCATTCTGATTTAGCATCAGGGTGTTGCATTGCTGCTGCTCCTTGAGGTGGTATTTATTGTTTGTAATTCCAACCATGAAAACATGTACACCTGTGTGTGTATTACCGGGCCAGTTTATGACCCATCCCGGGTCATTTTACAACCCGTCAGTCATCTGGTTCAGTTCTGTTATCGGTTATTGAGCAGATCTGATGATAATGTCTTGTTTGTTCTGTTGTGTAGGCCTTCTCCTCAGGTCATCTTTGTGAGTTCAGACTTTCACCTGGTGGCCCCAGATGGGTAAGAACTGAACTTATACAAACTAACTTCACTATTGTGTCCTCCAACATCTTTGGACTTGTGCTGATTTAATTACATGACTATTTTGAACCCTTTAATGCTCAAATCTTAAAACTGGCATTGTATCATTTTAAACTATAAAAGGGGTGCCGTGGCTCACTTTTCCAAATTACTTTAAGAAACAAGTCACCCCCCACCAGAGTCTTACTTTACTCCATCTTCATGTTTGAAAATGGCAACAAATGTTGTTGCCGGGCAGATCAAGAGGGCGGAGCTGCTAAGTTATGCACACACACACACACACACACACACACACACACACACACACACACACACACACACACACACACACACACACACACACACACACACACACACACACACACACACACAGGCTCACGACATTGTGGCATCATAATGTACCAGCTAACGTCATAGTGAACCTCTTGACCAACAGCGACGGCAGATGACGCAACACTGACAGTTTTAAGCAGAAAATTTAAAATTTAACTAAGATGCACCTAAGTGACAAATTATTGACTACACGCGTCTACAGCACTATTTATGTAAAGTACAGCCCAAAGGTTTAAACACATCTTCTCATTCTAAGTGTTGTTTCTACTTTCATGACCATTTACATTGGGAGACTCTCACTGAAGGCCTCAACTATGAATGAACACATGTGGAGTTATGTACTTAACCAAAAAAAATAAGCCACCCTTTGCTCTGATTACTGCTTTGCACACTCTTGGCATTCTCTTGATGAGCTTCAAGTGGTAGTCCTTCAAGACTGTTGGAAAACCATTTCAGTTGACCACCTCTTGAAGCTCATCGAGAGAATGCCAAGAGTGTGCAAATGGAGCAATGGAAGAGTGTGGAAACAAGGTGAAGAAGTGTGTGAAAGCAGGTTGCAATGGGTGGAGAAAAATGTCCGGTGTGATGTGTGATTAAAGGTAAATGGCCTTTATTTGGTATAGCACCTTCTAGAGTCCTGGACCCCCCCCCAAGGTGGTTTGCAACACAATCAGTTGGTCAACCATTCAAACACACATTCACACCCTGGTGGTGATGAGCTACATTATAGCCACAGCTGCCCTGGAACACACTGAACGAGTCGAGTTTGCCGTAAACAGGCACCACCGGTCCCTCCAACCACTACCAGCAGGCAAGGTAGGTTAAGTATCTTGCCCAAGAACACAACAACAGTGACAGACTGAACAGGGCTTGAACCTGCAGCCTTCCGATTATGGGTTGAGCACTTAACTCCTGTGCCACCGTCACCCCAAATGTACAAAAAAGTAGTGAGACCAGCAGTGTTTTATGGTTTAGAGACGGTGGCCATGAAGAAAAGATAGAAGGCAGGAGGCTTTGGAGCTCAAGATGTTGAAGTTCTGTTTGGGAGTGATGAAGATGGATCAGGATTAGGAATGAGTCCATCAGAGGGACAGCTCATGTTAGATGTTTTGGAGATAAAGTCACAGTGGTCAGACTGAGATGGTTTGGGCTTGTAGGGAGGAAGGATGGTGAGTGCATCGGTAGAAGAATCTTAGGTTAGAACTGCCTTGCAACAATATTTATAGGACATGGCTAGAAGGGCCAGATGATTCATTGTGATGACTCCATCAATTTAGAAATTTCCAAGATACATGTGACTTCAGTGAAACATCTAGAACCAAACTTGAACCAAAATGGTCCTTCAAGTATCAGGCGTCTTTCAACAGCCTGGTTAAAAAGACAAGCTTACCTGTGTGGGCAGTGGTTACCCCCACACTGTTTTTAGTAGACTTTGGCAGCTAGATTTATTTGGAATATTTTTCCTTTTGTCAGGATGAAGTACACACAGCCAAGCATCACACAGGGGTGAGTGCCACTGACTACTGCTACAGTTGTTGTAGTTTCTTGTGGTCTCTGATAGTCTGTCTCTGGCGTCAGCCGGACTGATGTAGTCTCGGTGACTCCCTGGTTGGCTCCTGTTGTCTGGGAAGAGACCTTCAATGAAAAACTTCTCGATAGCATCTACATGAAGAAGAACATCAGTGTTGTTGCCACGGTGTTTGCTGTTGGGAAGTAAGTGTAATCTTGAATAGCTTTTCCTGTCCGCCTACACGTCACAGTGACCCTTCCTTTCCTTGTCAGGTACATCATGTTCTTAAAGGACTTCCTAGAGACGGCAGAGCAGTTTTTCTTTGTTGGTTTTAGAGTATCTATTTATGTGTTCACTGATCGTCCAAATGATGTTCCCCATGTGAAAATGGCTGAAGGAAGACAGGTAAACAGAGTTGATTTCTGTCCTGTAGTCATCAACCTTCCTGGATGTTTCATTCTTTGTCCTCTTCTTCCTCCCCCAGCTGAATGTTCTTCCAGTGCCTAGCTCAAACCGCTGGCAGGAAATCTCTGCTCGCAGAATGGAGCTTATCCAAAAGCTGATTGAGGAAAAGCTCATCAATAAAGCCGACTACATTTTCTGTCTGGACGTTGATTCAAAGTTCCATGGTCGCTGGGGGACAGAGTCTCTGGGTGGACTGGTTGCTGTGATTCACCCTGGTATGTTGACCAGTTCTTCATCATGTCGATGTCTGAACAACCTTTTAGATCAGGAATATGTTTTAAAGTTTTCAGAACTGTCCGAGCAAGGCTAGAAGAGTGGTGCACACACACACACACACACACACACACACACACACACACACACACACACACACACACACACATCTTAATCAACATTGTTTTGTTTATCTTTGTGTGGGGAAAAATGCCAAGAACGTTAAGAAAAATCACTTTAATGAAATTAAAATAAAAAATATATAAAGTTGTGTCTGGTTCTAGTATTTCATATTTCCTAGTTCCTACTGCATGAGTTCAGATGTATTAATTCATGCTTTGGATGTGATCTTCCTCTTCTGCTTGTAGGTTACTACAGAGACGATCGCAGCAGGTTTCCGTATGAGCGGAGGCCCATCTCAAGAGCCTTCGTGGCTCCCGGGGATGGGGACTTCTACTACTGTGGTGGTGCGTTTGGCGGACTCATTCAGGAGGTTCATCAGCTTGCTAAAACCTGCCGGAAGAACTTTGAGGATGATGCCAAAGAAGGTATTGAGGCTGCCTGGCAGGAGGAGAGTCACCTGAACAGGTAGGTGGGGTCAGAACTTTGGTGTTGGTTCTGTTGTGTGCTGTGCTGATGTCACTTCCTGTTTCTGTGTAGGTACATGTGGACCAACAAGCCCAGTAAGATTCTGTCACCTGAATATCTGTGGCAGGACTTCAAGGCCAGAAACCCAGAAATTAAAATCATCAGGTTCTCTGGAGTCGTGAAGAACTACGCTGCCATCAGACCCAACTGAGCCTGGCTGAGTGTGACTGGGCTGGGCAGGTGCAGGAACAGAGGCAGTCTATAACACTGTAACACATCCATCTCCACAAGCACTTTATGTGACCTGACCAGTTCTCATCTGGTCCCAGGAGTTCTACGCACCAACATCACCTTTACTGAGCAAGAGTAACTGGACTCATTTAACAGTGTCACTGTTTGAATCTCCTCATTAAAGTAACACACAAATATTCAATCTACACATGTACATTCCTGCTGGGGTTTTGTGTACCACGAGTACTTTCATGCTTCTGGAGTAAAGGTTTCAGGAGTATTACATTCATTCTGCTGCTCCAGCTGTCGTATTCCTAAAGGGTTTTCAAGAAATTACAGGAAGTCGGCTCTATTCAGCCTTTTAGTCAGCACTTCTGGTTGTGAAAACATTAGATTTTGTTGTTTTATCATCACTTATGAATCAGCACGGATCTTTCTGAAACATGGTCAACATTCATCTGGACCTGGCTCAGCCCCCTGGACCATGAAGAGGGACCATGTGGGTAAACGTCAGCAAAGTTAACAAACATAAACCGTAATGTATCGCTGCATTTGGTAACATCTCAGACAGCCACCACTTTTCATTTAGGCTTTCAATGTTCTCTGTTGGGTTCTATGTCTTTAGAGCAGGCAACAATGTGTGTGGATCAGCTCATAGCGCCCCCTTCTGGCAGTTAGTAAACGTGGACTGGTAGTGGAGGGTTTTTGATTTAGGATTTTTTTATTTATTACAGGTCCTTAAAAATTTGCATATTGTGATTAAGTTCATTATTGTCTGTAATGTACTGTTAAACATTAAACTTTCATATATATTAGATTCATTACACACAACTGAAGTAGTTCAAGCCTTTTATTGTTTCTAATATTGATGATTTTGGCATACAGCTCATGAAAACCCAAAATTCCTATCTCAAAAAATTAGCATATTTCATCCGACCAATAAAAGAAAAGTGTTTTTAATACAAAAAAAGTCAGTCTTCAAATGATAATGTTCAGTTATGCACTCAATACTTGGTCAGGAATCCTTTTGCAGAAATGACTGCTTCAATGCGGCGTGGCATGGAGGCAATCAGCGTGTGGCACTGCTGAGGTGTTATGGAGGCCCAGGATGCTTCGATAGCGGCCTTAAGCTCATCCAGAGTGTTGGGTCTTGCGTCTCTCAGCTTTCTCTTCACAATATCACCAAGGTGATTGGGCTGTACTTCTGAGTTTGTTTGTGTTCTTCTTCTCAGGTGTGGAAACCCTCTTGTTTATTAAACTCAGAGGAAATTTATGCTAAATTATTTTTAAGAAATGTTTCCTGAAAAATAGTTGGTTTATTAATTTGTCTTAATGTTTGTGTTAAAATAAAATGTAACACCTCCGCAGGTGTGTTAAAGTCTTGGTCTGTTCAAATCAAAGCTGAGTATGTCTAACTCATTAAACTGAACGCTGATTGGTCTCCTTTGTGCCTGACCCGAAGATCTTTTTGCTAGGGATGCACGATATATTGCCATCAATGCCTTCGGCATCATCTGATTAACCCATTTGTGCCCACATTTTGTTCAGAGTCGTAATGCATATCATTTTATCAGTTAAGTCCCTCTGAATCATGTTATATATATTTTTTCCAATTATATACTGTTTTTGGGAAGAAAATGGCATATTTATGACTGGCAACTATTGTTGTCAGTGGTCACACAGCTTGTCAGTAGGTGAAATGTCACCTAACAATAGTAATAAAGAAGTAAAAATATCGTTATAACCAGGGCCGACCCTGGGGCATTATTTTCACTGGGCAAAATTTTTCCTCGCACCCCTGCAAACACTCCCCCCCTTCACACACACACACCTGTAACCTCACCCATGCATCCCACAAACAGGACACTGCTGTTATTTTGGCGCACCTCACTGCAGCAATACCTCCCCCAATAGCTGTTCAAGGCCCAGCCCTGGTCATAACAAAGTAATAGCCTAATAGTATTGTCCTAAAAATAAGAAAGGGCTCAGGTTCCCCTGTATGAAATTCAAAACAAGACACAATTTGAACTGTTTCCTTTACTCACTTTTTTAAAACTCACAATCACAACAAACATGTTTTTTAGAACATCTAACACATATTTATGTATATAACATAGTTCCCACACAATCCATCATTTGGTATGAATGTACTACTCAGTGTGGTACTTTTTGAAGCACTCCACATGGAGTGGCACGTCACATTTTTTGTACGCAATTTTTTTAAACAAAACTTTCGTCTTTGTTGTTTACTAGCAAATAAGTGGAAAATGTTGGATTAGTAACACTGTAATTTGACTCCTCAGCCAACAGAATGTAAAACGATGCAGTATGACAGACCATCATTCTTGACTGTGACTGGTCCACTTAAGTGTCAGCCATTTCACAAGAGCGGATCCAAAAGATTCAGATAAGTCAAAGAACCACAGAGATGGATCTTTAGTGTTGAACCTGGAATCAGATACAGGTGCTCCCTGGGTGGGTCTGTTTCTGAAACTCTGTAATGTTCCAGTGTCTGCAGTCATTAGTTTCCATGGCAACAGTAGCAGGTGTGAATGCTTTAGACTGCAGCTCACCTTAAACTTGTCATCAGTCTCGGGTATCAGCTGAGGCAGCTGATTGGCTATTGTTCACACACATCAGGTAAGCAGCTGGGTTTTTTCAGCACACCTGGACAAACCTGATCCCATCTAGACTAGAACCAAATAACTCCATCCAAAAATCTTAAATAAAATAAAAAAAAAAACTGGGAGACCAGCAGTTCATTACTGGGATGTAATCTGATCTTGATTCTTCTCAAACAAGACCTGAGAAATGTGCAATCCTTGTACAGTCAATGGTTGGACCCAACATCCTGGTTCCAGTCAGACTGAGTGAGAAAAAACTAATTCTGACTAAAATAAACCCCTTTATTTAGTCTCCTTTTAGATGAATCTTCTAGTCATAGTTAGCTTGCGTTAAACTGGCTCATCCCTTTAGTTATGCTGCTAGGCTTAAACTGCTTGAGGACAGACTGACCACATCTCCTCACCCTGCTGGCTTTACTCTTTACTTAAAGAGACGACACCGTGGGTCAGGGGTTAGGAGCTTGCCCTGAGACCCGTGGGATGTTGGTTCAAAGCCAGGCTCCATCTGTGTCAGTTGTCGTGTCTTTGGGCAAGAAACTTCACCCTTCTTGACTGCTGGTGGTGCCTGTGTACCACAGCCTTGCCTCCGTCAGTGTGACCCAACTAGGGCATCTGTAGTCACCATGTAAAGTGCTTTGGACGTCCTCTGGCTTCGAAAGGTGCTCTACAAGACCAGCCCATTTACAATTTTACTCTACTTGCTGATATTAACTTTATTTTCTGCTTGTCTTCCATAAAAGTTACAACTGGTCCAACCCTTCGTGATCTGAGTCTTTTTCCTGTCCTCTCAAACATCCATCTGTCCACCCTGATTCTGGGAAACTGGCTACATTGTAGCTCATCGGTGTGTGAATGGGTGAAGGACTAGTGTAGAGCACATGGAGTTCTCACACTCAGAAAGGTGCTATACAAATGCAGGTTATTTATCATTTTGTCAAGTAATGATTTATAAATTATATAATATAATATAAAATTAATTTGGTCAAATTAAAAAGGGCTAGTTCCGGCTTCCCCTGTCAACTGTGGCTCCTCCGTAGAATTTTATTAAAATATTTTTTTTAAATCAATAAATGAGAGGACAAGGAAGCTTACATTAGCTTGAAATCGGAAAAAAATTAAATAAAAAAGCGAGAGGAGAGACGGAGAGGGGGGGGGGGTTAAACACACTCAGACATTTAATTTCAGGAGGAGCGAGCATGACTGAAAAATTACATTGAGAGAGAGAAAGAGAGAGAGAGGAGGATCAGAGCACTATGCAGACAGGGCAGAGTGGTAATCAAACGGATGTCCTACAGCAGACAAGGACTAGTAGGAATTCTCGCCAGCATCTACAAACAAACAGGAATCTGATTCTGTGTAAAAGTAAACAGGTGGGTTTTCTTTTCTTCATCAGTTCATGGTGCCAGTTTGTGTCATTGATTCCCGTTACTGATGTTTTACAGACCAGTACAAGCACTGGTGTCATGGACGTAATTTTCACTTTAGAAATGGGGGGACACGGGGGGGTGGGGGGGGGGGGGTTGGGGGGGGGGGGTGATATCTTTATAGTATGTTCTAATGGGAAACAGGCTTCAACACAAACAATTGTTTTCCGCTTGGTCCTAGAGCTCAACCAGTGTCAATTTAATATAGCGTAATATTGTTTTTGGATGGTAAAAAGTGCAGGGGTCTAAACTTGACTTTGGAAAAAGTGGGGGGGGGGGGACATCCCCCCCCCCCCCACAAAAAAAATTACGTCCATGACTGGTAGTCCATCACAGTGTAGATATTGTCAGGATTTTAAATTTTCCTTTAACAGCAACAAACTATTTCTGCCTGAAAAGAAATATGCCTTTTATGAACAAATTGTGCATATACTGTATGTTAATTGCTTAAGAAGAGGGTGGTTAAATGGATCGATGGATGATGGATTAATGGTTGGATGGTGAATGAATGGACTGAGGAATGGATGGATAATGGATGGATGATGGTAGGATGATGGATAATGGATGGAAGGATGGATGGTGGATAGATGATGAAGGCAGGATGATGGATTAATGGTTGGATGGTGGATGAATGGATAAATGGACAGATGGATGAATTGTTGGATGGATGGATGGATGGATGGATGGATGGATGATAAACAGATGATTAACAGATGGATGGATGGATGGATGGATGGATGGATGGATGGATGGATGGATAGATGGATTGGTGGATGATAGCAGGATAATGGATAATGGATAATGGATGGATGGATGGTGAATAGATGGACTGATGAACAGATAGATGGATGATGGCATGATGATGGTAGATGGATGGATGGATGGATGGATGGATAGACAGACATATCCAATAATTTAACAGTAAATTTCAATAAAAAATGTTTTAATTACTGACAGCAGTACAGAGCATTCAGTACTACACACTGTTATTTTTGTTAACACACATTGAATAATTCAGGTGAGATCAGGTCACATCCAATCAGAGCACCCCGCAGGCCATAATACTTACCTAACTGTTATAAAACAATCTGATGCGTGTGTTGTTCATTTCAGGTGTGTGTCTCCATGGCGACAGGTGTGTGCGTGGTACTGAGTCTATGTGCTGGTTTTTGTTTTGCATTTAATCTGGACACATCGTTCCCAGTTCTGAAGAGGGGTGAAGGTGGAAGTCTTTTTGGATTTTCTGTCACTCTGCACAAGGACATGAAGACAGGAAGTCACCTGTGAGTTCACACTTGCCAGAACACACCTGCCAGTGGCTTTGTTGCTTTTTAATCTTCACAGGAGATGTTTTGGGATACACAGTTCTGCTTCTGATGTTAATTTGTTCAGTCTAACTTTCAGGGTTATTCTCAAAGAAAGTCTAAATAAAGAGTCATTCTCGCTGACTGAACGATAAAGTTACAGGAGGAAAACACCTGCTCACCCTCAGACCCGGTCCTGAAAGGTCCAGTCTTTAGAACATTCAGGGACTACAAATGAGCTGAGCGTTTGTGTCTCATGTAATTTTGTTCAATTTGTGAAACAAGAGGTTTTATGTGACGGTACTTCGGGGCCACCACCAGAACCACACCCCCTGGACCCTAGAGGTGGAGCTTTGGGCTTTGTTGAGCTGGATGAGTGTCTAAATACACGCTCATTTAAAAAACTAAAATATTATGAAAATATATTTTAATAATGAATATTGTTGTTTAGGAACCTGAAACTCATTTATTATGCAAGTTCATTATATTAACTTAAAACATTTCAAGCCTTTATTTCTTGTCATTTTGGTTATCATTACGCACAAGAAAACCCAAACTGATGTCTCTCAGAAAATAAGAATATTATGAGTTGAACTTTATGAAATGCGTGACGAAAAATATTTCAGATCACTTAGCAAAATATTGTGTTTCAATTCATTGGAGCTCAAAAATCTCAGAAGCTCCATCTGGTTGAGCAGTGGAGGACTGTGGACTAGTTAGCGTTGTGACATCGCAGAGACCTGGATTTGAGTCCTGGTCCTGGTTCTGGTGGATCAGTATGGATGTGGTTTCTCTGAACAGCTGCTGCTGAAAGAAGGGCTGAGAGGTCACTTTGAACCGTTTGATTATCAGTGTCTTTAACCTTCACGAGGAGCAGCTAGTGTGTCACTCTGTACATAGGTGTCTCATAACCACGGTGACATGCGACTGTCTAGTGAGACCAACAGAGTTCATGCAGAGGTCACATAGCTGTCTTTCTCCTTGGTCACCATAGAAACTACCTCCTGATGTCCTCTAATCGAATTGATGCGTGTATGTGTTTGCGTGTGTGTGTGTGTGTGTGTGTGTGTGTGTGTGTGTGTGTGTGTGTCTGTGTGTGTGTGTGTGTGTGTGTGTGTGTGTGTGTGTGTGTGTGTGTGTGTGTGTGTGTGTGTGTGTGTGTGTGTGTGTGTGTGTGTGTGTGTGTGTGTGTGTGTGTGTGTGTGTGTGTGTGTGTGTGTGTGTGTGTGTGTGTGTGTGTGTGTGTGTGTGTGTGTGTGTGTGTGTGTGTGTGTGTGTGTGTGTGTGTGTGTGAGTGGGAGTGGGGGGCTCAGGTTCGAGTTGGAAACAAGACATATGTTTAATGTCCTCCTGCACTGAACCACAATTAATGAGGTCCTTCACTCACATTTTTAATACATCTGTAGTGGTCTATAGCAGGACTGAATGTCTCGTAAGTTGCACTTGGGGTGGGGGGTCGTGAGTCAGGATCAAGCCCCCATAATTCAGGTCTGGATATGAAGCAAAACAGGATGTAACAACTATTGCAGTTGCACCCTCATCCGCTGGGGGCTGGTGTCAGAAGCAGGCAAATCATTGACTCCCATGTTAAAAATACCAATTTCACTGCAGAAATAAACTTGTTTGCAGCCTGGTTCCAAAACATATTTTAGGTTTAACGGATATAGTTTACCTCCCATTTTGGCACAAAAACTTAGTATTGGAGCCTATTGACACGAATTGTCCAGTTATGTATGTCGATGGTCAGGATGGGTGTGTCCATGAATGTTAAATAACAGTGAGATGTAGATCTGATTTTCTAATCCTAGAGTTTCTCCATCTATGATCTATCAGAAGCTAATGCAGGAACTAGGTGTAGGAGACTATCTTCATGTTCAGCCTGCATGTTAAGCACAGAGGAACCGATCAAGTAAAAATTGGTTTCTCAGAAAATGACCACTAAACAGTTGAAGTCCTTTTGACAGATCAGAGCCAACCATGTAATCTGGATGGATTTGGAACAGCTCAATCACCTTTTTTTCTCCAGACTGTTGATTGGAGCTCCCAGGGACTGGGCGGAGCCTAATGTTCCAGCCAACCGAACAGGAGGAGTGTACAGCTGCCCAATCACTGCTGACCATTTAGATTGCACAAGGATGAAAGTTGTGAACCCAAGTGAGTCATGCTTGCTGTCATGTTGTTCCACTATTTGACCATATCTGTATTTTGAGGGGGTTCAGTTGGGACTTTGGAGGTTTCCTAGCTGATGGCCATAAGATCTGGATCCCTTTCTAAAAGGAATTGTAATCCTGTGTTGTCTGGAAACGCCTTTGCCTTTGCGTCTCCCAGTGGGCAGGTAGCAGGAGATTTCTGGGACCCAGTAACAATTTACCTTGTGGTTCAGATTCTAACAAAGAAACAGTGAATGTGCTGTTGTCCATTTAAGGTTAGTTTTACAGGCTTTTTAAATCTATGGCTTTTATGTCCTGATAAATGAAACAACAAATAAAAGTGTTGGAAGGTCAAATCCATTGTGGGATTTGGAACTCTGACCTCTGGTGAACAAAGCCTTTACTGAAGGACCCGCCTGTTCTTGCACTTGCAGATCTGAACCCTTCTAAAAACTTGGTTGAGGACATGTGGCTGGGCGTCTCAGTAGCCAGTCAGGGTGGACCCAGTGGGAGGGTTCTGGTGAGTTCTCTAATGTCTCTGAGTGAATGTTCTTTGACTAATAATCTTTAGATAGGGTCACTGGTGAGATAGTTAACTTCATGGTTTATTTCCAGCCAGCCCCTAAAAAGTAACTAAGTAGATAATTCATCAACTTGCCAGATAACTAATTAACTGATTGACGTGTTCACCACCTAATAATGTCATGTGTCCTTCAGGCATGTGCTCATCGGTTTGTGAAACTCTCCAGTGCCTTTAAGCACAGTCAGGTCGGCCAGTGTTATCTCAGTGGGGATGACCTGCTGAAAGACTACAGCATCTCCAGCTGGCACAGACTAGACCAGCTTTGCAAGTAGGTCACATGACCAAGTATTTACCTCATACCTGTATGTTGGTCCATCCCCCTCACCTGTTGCACTTCTGTTCAGCCATGAGCAGAATGAAGCCGGTCAGGGAATGTGTAACTTGGGAATCTCTACCTTCATGAGCGACACTGAACTCATCTTTGGCTCACCTGGAAGCTACCACTGGCAAGGTAAAGGTTCTGGGGCTTCAGGTTGGTCAGTCAGTGAACAAATCAATCTGTGTGTTTATCAAAAGTAGACAGACACACAGATGGTAAATTATGGAGTCCAGTAGCTTAGAAATGCCACAGACACATATAGAGCTCCGGACGTCACGTGACTCTCAGAGAGTAGACGCCATGTTGGCAGGCAACAAATGTAAACAAATTGAACGGGATCGGCTTGGATTTTACTTCGTCTGAGTTTACTTCACACTTTAAAACTGAAGAAATCGTTTTATTTAGTCAGAAATTAAATAGACTAAACATCTCCGACCCTTACCGTGCCCCTGGGATACTTTTTAAAAACGCCAGAAGCTGTCGGAGCAGACTTCTTACCGGACCTGGCCGGGGAACCCCTTGGGATTCCCCCAGAGGAGCTGGCCCAAGTGGCTGGGGGGAGGGAAGTCTGGGCCTCTCGATGCTACTGCCCCCGTAACCCGACTCCAGATAAGCAGATGAAAATGGATGGATGGACAAATAACATAGATTTACACGTAAGTAGTTTAAATAGAGTGCTGTGCTGTTTGAATGTATAAACGGAACGCCAAGAGAAATCATTAGTTTGATTTTTTTCCGTGAATAAAATAAATATGTCAGGCAGGAGCATCTCAGGATCTGTCTGAGATCTGTCTCGGTGAGACAGATAATAGCAACCCAAAGTGCTTTTTATGTGTGATCTGACAATTGATCAACCATTGCTTAAAAATTAAATACAGCTTAGCCGGTTAATTGCTGTGATCATAAAACACGTAAACGGCAGCACGCAGAAATCACGAGGCAACGTTTTACGTGATGTTTACTTGTTGCTATGAGTAATAAGACAGAAAAAGCCACGCCAAAATAAGTTTAGGAAGCCCACTAAGAATCGTAATGAAATCATTTAAAATAAACACCATACACAGTTGAGGAAACGTTGGTTTAAGTACCTGATATGAAGCGGTCGCTGCATAAGCGAAAACCTTTACTCTCGGGATCCCACAGTTTCATTTAAGCCCGGTCACTAGCGTGTTTTATTACAATGATCCAACGTTTGCGGCGCTCCACATCTTGGGGAATCCTGTAGATGGCTCATTCCTTATGTCGTCCGTGTCTGTTCTGCATCCTGGGGCACAACAGGAATCTACCATATTTCCTGTTTGATTGAGTTTTCTGACAATAACAAATAGCCCAGCTGCGGGCTTCTGCCTGCCAATATGGCGCTGTTTCGATTTGAACTGTTGCATGCCGGGAGAAGTGACGTCGACTCCCGGAGCTCTATAGAATCTGAATTAAATAAAATTATATGTTGCAATTTGTTGGTCATTTGAATATTTAATTAATAAATAATTCATAAATCAGTTTCTGACTGAACTGTCTGCCTGACGTATAATAATAATAATAATAGTAATAATAATAATAATTGTTGTTGTTGTTGTTATTATTATTTTTTTTCTTACAAACATTGTTAGCTATTTTTTCTTTTTATAATAATTTTATTTAAAAAATTTCCCTTTTTGGAATTCCTCTCTAAACTAAAGTTTATGTTTTTGTAATTTGTTATCTTTTAGGAAGTGTCCATGTTGTCTGGACCGAGACAGACATTCAGAAGAACTTCTTTCCCAATCAGCACCAAAGAAACATTTATTTAGGTGACATTTCCTTTTACCGAGATCTGAACTCACATACATGAAACACACATATTTAGATACTGTAGAGCTGCTAGTTTCTGAAAAGAAAGCAGCCTTTTTATATATTCCCTTTCTAGACATCACACAAGAACAGTTAAACACTAAAGCAGAGCCTGGTGAGTCGACCTCAGAGTCCTGGTGGCAGCATCAGGGTGTAAAGGTCAGAGATGTGTGAATACAAGATCTCTGAACTGGTTCCTAGAAAGAGAGCCTGTACACTGCAGGAAGCACAGTGCTTAGAGGACTGAGCCAACAGTTTATCTGGTGGCAGATTTGGACAAATATAGTTAATTTTTACATCGTTATTTCCTGTGTGCATCACAATAGAACACAAGACAAAGTCAGTTCAGACCCTGGCAGAAGAACGGGAAACTAGGGCTTTTCTTCAAGAGCTCAAACATTTGTAATTTTTTCCCTGGGTCACAGATTTCAAGTCTGAGTTCAAGGAATTTAACTTTCTGGAGCGTTTGTGTTTCTGTAGGATATTCAGTCACTCAGGCTCATTGTCTTCTGTCTGTGGACGATGTAACCATAGTAACAGGTGAGGCTTCATCTTCCTCATTGATCCTGTCATGGATGAATTTTTTATTTTGTATTTATTTCAGTTTGGAGGGACATGTCCCCCCACTTTTTTAAAGTAGATTTTTGTCCCCTGCACTTTTTACCATCCAATGACAACATTATGCTATTGAATAGACACTGGTTGAGAACTAGGACCAAGCAAAAAACAGTTGCTTGTGTTGAAGCCCGTTTCCCTCCATAAGCTCATCTATTGCATCTATTGCATAAAAGAGCCTCTAGGCCACATGTGACAAACTCCGGTGCTCGAGGGCCGCTATCCCACATGTTTTAGTATTTTCCCTGTTTCAAAACACCTGATTTCAATCAGCAGGTGATTTCGCCCATGGGGCCCGGCCGGGCCCAGCCCGAACCGGATACATGGGCTCGTCCAACTGTGGACCCACCACCCGCAGGAGGAACATGAAGGGTCCGGTGCAATGCGAATCGGGTGGCAGACCAAGGCGGGAGCCTTGGCGGTCCAATCCCCGGACAAGAAAACTAGTTTTTGGGACATGGAACGTCACCTCGTTGGCGGGGAAGGAGCCGGAGCTTGTGGCAGAGGTTGAGCGGTACCGGCTAGATATAGTCGGACTCACCTCGACACATTGCATTGGCTCTGGAACCCGAGACCTGGAGAGGGGTTGGACACTCTACTTTGCTGGAGTTGCTCCGGGTGAGAGGCGGAGGGCTGGGGTTGGCTTTTTGTTAGCCCCGAGACTCTCTGCCTGTGTGTTGGGGTTTACCCCGGGGGACAAGAGGGTAGCTTCCTTGCGCCTTCGGGTCGGGGAACGGGTCCTGACTGTTGTTTGTGCTTATGGGCCAAATATCAGTTCAGAGTACCCACCCTTTTTGGAGTCCCTGGGACGAGTGCTAGATAGTGCTCCATCAGGGGACTCCATTGTCCTGCTGGGGGACTTCAATGCTCACGTGGGCAATGACAGCTTGACCTGGAGGGGTGTGATTGGGAGGAACGGCCCACCTAATCTGAACTCGAGCGGTGTTTTGTTATTGGACTTCTGTGCAAGCCGCAGTTTGGCCATAACGAACACCATGTTCGAACATAAGGATGCCCACCGGTACACTTGGTACCAGGGCAGCCTAGGTCACAGGTCGATGATAGATTTTGTAGTCGTATCATCTGACCTGCGGCCGTATGTTTTGGACACCCGAGTGAAGAGAGGGGCGGAGCTGTCAACTGATCACCACCTGGTGGTGAGTTGGATCAGATGGCAAGGGAACATGCCGCGTAGACCTGGCAGACCCAAACGCATAGTGAGGGTCTGCTGGGAACGCCTGGCAGAAGAACCTGTCAAGACGGTCTTCAACTCCCACCTCCGGCAGAGCTTTGACCACGTCCCGAGAGCAGTGGGGGACATTGAGTCCGAGTGGGCCTTGTTCCACTCTGCGATTGTTGAGGCGGCTGTTGCTAGCTGTGGTCGTAAGGTGGCCGGTGCCAGTCGTGGTGGCAACCCCCATACCCGCTGGTGGACACCAGAGGTTCGGGGAGCCGTCAGGCTGAAGAAGGAGGCCTACAGGGCGTGGCTGGTCTGTGGGTCTCCGGAGGCAGCAGACAGGTACCGGATAGCCAAGCGGGGTGCAGCAGTGGCAGTTGCCGAGGCAAAATCTCGGGCGTGGGAGGAGTTTGGTGAGGCCATGGAGAAAGACTATCGATCGGCTCCAAAGAGGTTCTGGCAAACTGTCCGGCGCCTCAGGAGAGGAAGGCAGCAACTCGCTCACACTGTTTACAGTGGGGATGGGGAGCTGCTGACGTCAACTGAGGCTATAGTCGGACGGTGGAAGGAATACTTTGAGGAGCTCCTCAATCCCACCAATGCGCATTCCGAGGAGGAACCAGAGCTGGGAGGCCTGGGGATGGACTGTCCGATCTCGGGGGCAGAAGTTGCTGAGGTAGTCAAACAACTACACAGCGGCGGAGCCCCGGGGGCGGATGAGGTTCGTCCTGGGTATCTCAAGGCTATGGATGTTGTAGAGCTGTCATGGTTGACACGTCTCTACAACATTGCGTGGTCATCGGGGGCAGTTCCTAGGGAGTGGCAGACCGGGGTGGTGGTCCCCATCTTTAAGAAGGGTGACCTGAGGGTGTGTTCCAACTATAGGGGGATCACACTCCTCAGCCTCCCTGGAAAGGTCTACGCCAAGGTACTGGAGAGGAGGGTCCGATCGATAGTTGAATCTCAGATAGAGGAGGAGCAATGTGGTTTTCGTCCTGGCCGTGGAACTGTGGACCAGCTCTATACCCTTGCAAGGGTGATGGAGGGGGCATGGGAGTTTGCCCAACCAATCCACATGTGCTTTGTGGATTTGGAGAAGGCTTATGACCGTGTCCCCAGGGGCACCCTGTGGGGGACGCTCCAGGAGTATGGGGTGGGTGGCTTTCTGTTAAGGGCCATTCAGTCCCTTTACCAGAGGAGCGTGAGTTTGGTCCGCATAGCCGGTAGTAAGTCGGACCTGTTCCCAGTGAGGGTTGGACTCCGCCAGGGCTGCCCTTTGTCACCGGTTCTGTTCATCACTTTTATGGACAGAATTTCTAGACGCAGCCGTGGTGTGGAGTGTGTCGAGTTTGGTGGCAGGAGAATCTCGTCTCTGCTTTTTGCGGATGATGTGGTCCTCCTAGCTTCATCCAGCTCTGACCTTCAGCTCTTGCTGGGTAGGTTCGCGGCCGAATGTGAAGCGGCTGGGATGAGGATCAGCACCTCCAAATCTGAGACCATGGTTCTCGACCGGAAAAGGGTGGCTTGCCACCTCCGGGTCAGGGGAGAGGTCCTACCTCAAGTGGAGGAGTTTAAGTATCTCGGGGTCTTGTTCACGAGTGAGGGTAGGGGGGATCGGGAGATCGACAGGCGGATTGGTTCGGCGTCTGCAGTGATGCGGACGCTGAGCCGATCTGTCGTGGGGAAGAGGGAGCTGAGCCAGAAAGCCAGGCTCTCGATTTACCGGTCGATCTACGTCCCAATCCTCACCTATGGTCATGAGCTTTGGGTAATGACCGAAAGAACGAGATCGCGGATACAAGCGGCCGAAATGAGTTTCCTCCGTAGGGTGGCCGGGCTCAGCCTTAGAGATAGGGTGAGGAGCTCGGACATTCGGGAGGGACTCGGAGTAGAACCGCTGCTCCTCCGGATCGAAAGGAGCCAGTTGAGGTGGTTTGGGCATCTGGTCAGGATGCCTCCTGGACGCCTCCCCGGGGAGGTGTTTCGGGCATGTCCTGCCGGCAGAAGGCCCCCGGGTCGACCCAGGACACGTTGGAGAGGTTACATCTCCAATCTGGTCCGGGAACGCCTTGGGGTCCTGCCGGAGGAGCTGGTGGACAAGGCCGGGGAGAGGACGGCCTGGAGCTCCCTAACTGGGATGCTGCCCCCGCGACCCGGACCCGGATAAGCGGAGGAAGACGAAGACGAAGACGAAGGTGATTAACAGGCTTGTGGAGAGTTGAGTTTCTGCACAGGCAAATCAAGTGTGTTGGAACAGGAAAACAATAAAAAGATGCAGGATACCGGCCCTTGAGGACTGGAGTTTGACACCCCTGCTCTAGGCTGTTTTATACATATTTTTGTATATTTACTGTAAAGATCCCCCCTTCCCCCCCCCCCCCCCCCCCCCCCCCCCGGTCCTCATGCCGGTTGTGTCCCCTGCACTTCTAAAGTCTACTACGTCTATGTATCCTGTTGTTAGTCTGGTGAGGTGCTGATTGATTGATTGATTGATTGATTGATTGATTGATTGATTGATTGAGCTTCTGAGCGATGTACTGAAGCATTGGTTTCTGCTGGTTGTATTGTTCAACAGGAGCTCCCAGAGACAACAAAGAGGATGCTCGAGGTTCTGTGCTGTTGCTCACCAAGCGGTCCGATGAGCTGTTGATTCGGCAGACCCTGCGCGGTCAGCAGGTTGGTTCTTACTTTGGTAACGCCGTGGCAACCTCTGACCTCAACAATGATGGGTGAGGAAGATTTATATGGTCCCAGAGATGTTCGGTGTCATCTCTCTTTAGAGAAAAAAGTTTCACAGGCTTTAACCTGCATCAACTGACATTTAATATTCTGCCCTGCAGCTGGACTGACCTGCTGGTGGGCGCTCCTTTTTACTATGGTCGTCAGCCTGAGGTGGGTGGGGCAGTTTATGTCTACATGAATGCTGGGGGAAGGTTTGCCGCTGAACCTAGCGTTACGCTAATGGGTCCTGTTGGATCTGCTTTTGGAATGGCTGTCATTGCTGCAGGAGACCTGAACCAAGATGGGTTTCAGGGTGAGACCCCTCTAACTCAGTCACATCATGCACTATGAGCCGTACTTAGTAAGGCTGACATATTGCTGTGTTTCAGACTTTGCAGTAGGTGCCCCTTTCCATGATACAGGAAGTGTAATGATCTGGACTGGGAGCAGTGAGGGGATCTCTACAGAACCAAGCCAGGTCTCACATACATCCCCCTTTTTTATTGTTTATGGGGTCCCTGAAAACCTGCAAATAAAATACCTGTTAAACTACAGGACTTATCCCAATTGTTCTAAATTAGAAATGTCCTCCTGTTTTAAAACAGCTGTCCTAGTTTCTCCACGAGTACTACCGGACCCCATCTGTCTCTGTACAGGTGATCCAGGGCAGCAGCCTGTTTTCTGGTTTCAGGACTTTTGGGTACTCTCTGGCTGCAGGACTGGATGTTGATGGGAACAAATATCCAGATCTGCTGGTCGGCTCACTGGATGACACAGTCGCTCTCCTCAGGTAGTTTCAGAACCAAAAACTTTAATCAGCTGTTGACTGTTGAACTTTACCCAAGACTATGTTTTCTCTTATTCATTATTACTAGTTTGACTGATAGATAGATAGATAGATAGATAGATAGATAGATAGATAGATAGATAGATAGATAGATAGATAGATAGATAGATAGATAGATAGATAGACTGATTGATTGATTGATTGATTGATTGACCGATTTACTGATTGACTGATTGATTGACTGATTGATTGATTAATTGACTGATTAATTGATTAATCCTCAGATCTCGCCCAGTAGTTCACCTAAACAGATCGCTCAGAGTTTCTCCAGACATCGTCCACCCAAACAGCTGTGACTTCTGGTGAGGATCTTAGTGGACCCTCATAGTTTGGAAGTCTCTTCGTCTTGTTGACATTTTGTATCTCAGCATTAAGGTGGAGGTCTGCTTCTCCTTCAAGCTCAGCATCACAGAGAAAGCTAAGACCAACATCAGTGAGTCACCTCTATTTCCCCCTTGATTCAGGTTTAGTTCGGGACTTTCAGCAGCATGAATCTGTCTCACTTCCTTCTGGAATCTTACCATGGCAACTAATGCTGAAAATAATTTCAAGAAGAAAGATCAATGTGTAAATGCAGCTGCCAATAAAATGAGATGATAGATAATAAACCCCTGAACAACGACACTCAGGCTGTTCAGCATTATTTTAATTAATTGTCATCTCTGAAAATATAAAAATAATAACCTGTTGAGCAGTTGACCTTTAGGTGGACTGAGCCTGAAAGGATAAGCACTGTATGGACATTGTCGTCGTCATCGTCTTCCTCCGCTTATCTGGGTCCGGGTCGCGGGGGCAGAGTCCCAACTCCAGACCGTCCTCTCCCCAGCCATCTCCACCAGCTCCTCCGGCAGGACCCCAAGGCGTTCCCGGACCAGATTGGGGATGTAACCTCTCCAACGTGTCCTGGGTCGACCCGAGGGCCTCCTGCCGGCTGGACATGCCCGAAACACCTCCCCAGGGAGGCGTCCAGGAGGCATCCTGACCAGATGCCCAAACCACCTCTACTGACTCCTTTAGATCTGGAGGAGCAGCGGTTCTACTCCGAGTCCCTCCCGAATGTCCGAGCTCCTCACCCTATCTCTAAGGCTGAGCCGGGCAACCCTACGGAGGAAACTCATTTCAGCCGCTTGTATCCGCGATCTCGTTCTTTCGGTCATTAGCCAACGCTCATGACCATAGGTGAGGATTGGGATGTAGCTCGACCGGTAAATCGAGAGCCTGGCTTTCTGGCTCAGCTCCCTCTTCACCACGACAGATCGGCTCAGCGTCCGCATCACTGCAGATGCTGAACCAATCCGCCTGTCGATCTCCCGATCCCTCCTACCCTCACTCATGAACAAGACCCAGAGATACTTAAACTCCTCCACTTGAGGTAGGACCTCTCTCCCGATCCGGAGTTGGCAAGCCACACTTTTCCGGTCGAGAACCATGGTCTCAGATTTGGAGGTGCTGATCCTCATCCCAGCCGCTTCACACTCGGCCGCGAAGCTACCCAGCAAGAGCTGAAGGTCAGAGTTGGATGAAGATAGGAGGACCACATCATCCGCAAAAAGCAGAGACGAGATTCTCCTGCCACCAAACTCGACACACTCCACACCATGGCTGCTCCTAGAAATTCTGTCCATAAAGGTAATGAACAGAACCGGTGTCAAAGTGCAGCCCTGGCAGAGTCCAACCCTCACTGGGAACAGGTTCGACTTACTACCGGCTATGCGGACCAAACTCACACTCCTCTTGTAAAGGGACTAAATGGACCTTAACAGAAAGCCACCCACCCCATACTCCTGGAGCGTCCCTCACAGGGTGCCCCTGGGGACACGGTCATAAGCCTTCTCCAAATCAAGGGTATAGAGCTGGTCCACAGTTCCACGGCCAGGACGAAAACCACATTGCTCCTCCTCAATCTGAGATTCAACTATCGATCGGACCCTCCTCTCCAGTACCTTGGAGTAGACCTTTCCAGGGAGGCTGAGGAGTGTGATCCCCCTATAGTTGGAACACACCCTCAGGTCACCCTTCTTAAAGATGGGGACCACCACCCCAGTCTGCCACTCCACAGGAACTGCCCCCGATGACCACGCAATGTTGCAGAGACGTGTCAACCACGACAGCCCTACAACATCCATAGCCTTGAGATACCCAGGACGAATCTCATCCGCCCCCGGGGCTCCGCCGCTGTGTAGTTGTTTTACTACCTCAGCAACTTCTGCTCCGTCCATCTCCAGGTCTCGCGGCTCTGGTTCCTCCTCGGAATGCGCGTAGGTGGGATTGAGGAGCTCCTCAAAGTATTCCTTCTACCGTTCGACTATAGCCCCAGTTGACGTCAGCAGCTCCCCATCCCCACTGTAAACAGTGTGAGCGAGTTGCTGCCTTCCTCTCCTGAGGTGCCGGACAGTTTGCCAGAGCCTCTTTGGAGCCGATCGATAGTCTTTCTCCATGGCCTCACCAAACTCCTCCCACGCCCGAGATTTGGCCTCGACAACTGCCACTGCTGCACCCTGCTTGGCTATCCGGTACCTGTCTGCTGCCTCCACAAACCAGCCACACCCTTTAGGCCTCCTTCTTCAGCCTGATGGCTCCCCGGACCTCTGGTGTCCACCAGCGGGTATGGGGGTTGCCACCACAACTGGCACCTGCCACCTTCTGACCACAGCTAGCAACAGCCACCTCGACAATCGCAGAGTGGAACGAGGCCCACTCTGAGCAAATGTCCCCCACTGCTCTCGGGACATGGTCAAAGCTCTGCCGGAGGTGGGAGTTGAAGACCGTCTTGACAGGTTCTTCTGCCAGGCGTTCCCAGCAGATCCTCACTATGCGTTTGGGTCTGCCAGGTCTACGCGGCATCTTCCCCTGCCATCTGATCCAACTCATCACCAGGTGGTGAACAGTTGACAGCTCCGCTTCTCTCTTCACTCGGGTGTGCAAAACATACGGCCGCAGGTCAGATGATACGACTACAAAGTCTATCATCGACCTGAAAGATTGTTGCAGGTTACCATTCTGTGTGTCAGTGTTGGTCACGTGATCTGGTCCTTCAGTGTGTCCTGCAGCTGCTAATTAATGCTAACAAGGTTGTTTACAGCCATTAATGACATCAGCTTCCTGTTTGTGAGCTTGCTTATGTGACAGCACAAAGCTGTCATTTAGCTCCTGCTGTGAATCAGCAGACACACACTAAACCTCTCCTAGGAGAGGATCCGTGTCTAGTCTGAGACAAGGTCACTCTATGAAAACACTCACTTTGTGCTCACATGACATCATGCTGTGTCCTTGTGTGTCCTTTTGTGTGTTTCTGTGAATGATAAATCACATTACTGATACAATTTCATCTGAGACACAATGCAGAGATGTGTGTGGGTGAATATTCTGACCAATCAGAGTCAAGGTGACCTGAGCTGTGTGAGCATCCTGAGGTGATGGATCTGTCTGCTGAGCTGGGATCAGTTCGGTCTGTTACTGTTAAAGTGGACTAATAAGCCAAGGGACATGAGAAATGTTATTTAGAATTATTCCTGACAATCATGGGTTTACTGGTGAAAGGTCGTTTTCTCCGACCAGCACTCTTTAACAGCCTGGATCCATAACAGAAATTGTGTGTTGAGTCAGGCTTGGGCACTGATGTCTCTATTGTCCTCACATTGGTTAGAATATGAACACTTTATCATCTCAAAGGTAGGATGATCGTCTGAAGTAAAACAAAGGATGTCTTCAACTCTCAAAGAATCAAGCTTTACACAGTTTGATTTTAATTGCTACAGAACCAAACCATGCAGCAATGTCTATTAATAGAAAATCTGTGGAATGTGCAGGCACTCTTCTGTTGTCCCTATGAAAACACCTCAAGCACCTGAAATAGGTTTTTTAGTAGATATTATTAGTTGTATGCGTTTGCAGAATGAACCAGTGGCCAAATGCTGGATTCAGTCCAGTTCCTCAGAACCACAGAGAACGAGATGCTGATGGCTGCTTTGCTGGTTTAATTTATTTGCTCATAAATCATTTTAAATTGTATTCTCATACATGAACTCTGTTTTTGTCTCTCAGCTGTCTATTTCACTGTGGCTGCTGATGTCACCAGCCTCAAGCCCCGCCTCCATTTCTATGAAAATGGAGAGACCGTGTACTCAAGCTCACTGTCACTGAAAAAAAGAATGTGTAAAACTCTTAAAGTTGGGCTGCTGGTGAGGACTCCTACACTCTCTCTCTCTCTCTCACACACACACACACACACACACACACACACACACACACACACACACACACACACACACACACACACACACACACGCACACACATACGGTCCAGTCAGACCACAGAAGTCCTTGGAGCTAAACCAGTTAGAATTTCTCTCATGGTTGAAGTAAACTTCACGACTCCAGCGACTCCTTCCATTCCGTCTTTGTGTTACTGTTTCTGTCGTCCTTTACTCCTCTCATCATGCTTTGATGTTTTCAGTGATCATGCGTGTCGTCATCATGTGACCCAACCTGTTCAAGCCTGCCTTACTGAACCTGCTGTTTGAAACTCACACTGCTGCAAGTGTGTCTAAACTGAAACATTCCTGCTGCTCATCTTCCACATGAGCAGCTACTTTCTTCCTAAAGAAGTTCAAAAAGGCTTCAGCTGCCTTCACGTTCTGATGGACTGATCCGTCTAACTCTTTTCTGTTACAGACGTTCTGCTCAGGTTCTGTTCTTTGTACTTCTGTTCTACAGATTCCAGTCCAAAACAAAGTGAAACCTCTGGTATTCTCACTTAATGTCAATTTAAATGAGAAGCTTCCTGAAAAAGGGAACATTGTTCAAGATCTGAGGCAATTCCCCGTTCTCAGCCGGACTCCTCAACCCATCAGAACCCAGGTCAGAACCCAACAAGTGAATCACCAGAAAACAGGACTGAGACGAACTAAAGACAGTTACACAGAACTGCTCAAAGCATTTACTATCTGTTTATTCAGATTCACATCCAGAAGGCCTGCGGCTCTGACAACCGTTGCCATTGTAACCTCCAGATGACAACCCAGTTCATGGATCTGAACCAGAACCCCTTCACCAAGTGAGCGCCCTGCCCCCACAACTGATCACACTTTCAAATTTTTAATGATCAGATTCAAATCGACAGCTGAGCAAGTTATAAACTATTACTGACTCTTGACTTGATGACTGATCAGAATATCATTGACCAAATGGAGTTTTTAGTTCTCATACTGGTAGAAGGTCACATGATCAGATCCTAAAACATTTTCAAACGAAGCATGGTAAAACCCAACAGCTGATCTCCATCTGTGCCAGCATCTGACAGTTCTGCTAATCTTGAGTTCTGTGTTTGTGTTTTCTAGGGTGAATGGCAGCTCAGTGCTGGTTTACAACAGCAGCATCAGGTGGTTCCTCTTGGAGGTTAACATCAGCAACACACCCTCAGCAGGCCGGCCGGCAGAGGATGCTCACAATGCTGTCCTAAACATCAGCATACCACCAGCCCTCTCCTACTCTGGAGTCATACCAAAGGCAGTGATGATGGATTAAGTTTGTTTTCCAGATTACAGGATTTAGTTCAAACGACACAAAGTAGAGGTCCATATGCGTCAGGAAATGAACCAAGAAGTTTGGTCTCAGGTGGTTTAAAAAAAATCCTGAATATTTTCCTCTAATCCTACCAGGCTCACAATTCCAACATAATGAAATGTATGTTTAACACACAGATCAGCAGAACACCTGGAGTGTCTTATGCTCCTAACCACATTACTTTGACTGAACAACACACAGACTTGACTCTGGCCATTTGAAGCCCAATGAGGTGAAATGTGAATCTTAGTTCCTTTTAGTATTAGAGAGGTTTATTAATCCAAACATAAATGATTATTTAGACTAAGTCTGTTTGATCTATTCCATCATAGACCTAAAAGGGTCTCTGGTAATATGTGGCAGCATGAGCTTGTTAAGGTCAAAAGGCTGAAGGCACTCCCAGAACACTTTTGGTCCAACTCAAGAGGAATTGAGATCCTAACCAACTTATTTGGCTTTTAGTTAGATTTGATTATTGTGTGTGTGTGTGTGTGTGTGTGTGTGTGTGTGTGTGTGTGTGTGTGTGTGTGTGTGTGTGTGTGTGTGTGTGTGTGTGTGTGTGTGTGTGTGTGTGTGTGTGTGTGTGCATGCATGCGTGTGTGTGTGTGTGTGTGTGCTGTTTTGTGTGTGTGTGTGTGTGTGTGCTGTTTTGTGTGTGTGTGTGTGCTATTGTGTGTTTTCTTACCAGTGGCTTCCACATAGAGCAGAAAGCTTTTACTGCTTTTAGGGCTGATGTGACACCGTGGTCCCCTGAAAGATCTGGGCCCAGTCCTTAGCTGGAGTCTTGACTTGAACTCATAGTAATCTGAGTATTGGATGTGTGTTTGTGTTTCAGGAGGATAATTCAACACTGACTGACTGTTCTGTTGAAGACACGTCTGTTGTGTGTCAGCTGGGCAATCCTTTCAAAAGCAAACAGAAGGTAAAGTGCTGGTTCTGCTGCAGCACGACCACTGTGTGCCCAGCACTGATGTATTACAGAACCAGATGGTGTAATGAGGCCTTTTGCTTTGCTCTTGTTCTGCAGGATCAGCTTTTGATCAAGTTTCAACCAACTAAGATGATTTTGGACACCAAGGAGATACGGTCTCTGCTGCAGCTGTCCACGTGAGACATCCACTCGGCTGCCTGAGTCTGATTGCATTTGTTAGAAAGATACTGATGTCAGTGTGTCTTTGTGACCCCAGGCTCAGTGAGCAGTCAGATCTGGCTCCGGTCTATGTCTCCATGCTGGTGGAGAACTCACTCCAGGCATCTCTCATTTTGTAAGATCCCAACGTTTTTGGTGTCAAAACATAAAGTTCTTTTCATGTTCGCGAGATTTCAACATGTCCTCTCTAAGTGCCACCCCACAGGTCTCAGTAATCGAGACATTAACTTCATATTTTCCCTAAATCTCTTAGGGAAACATATAGTTTAACCCCAGGGTGGCACTTAAAGATGGCGGATATTTGAAGGTTGTGTTTTCATTTCAAAAGGATTCTGTTTCTCCCCAATGGTTCTGTGGTTCTACAATTAATGCCTGACCTGTAAAACCCAGATGTGCTGCAACTGGATGAGGCTTGTCCTGTAAAGATGATAAACCCTGTGCTCTGATTGGACATTCATGACAGAATCAACCCACCTGGCCCAGTCTTCTTTAGTGGTCAAGTGATTGCCGAGCAAGCCGTGAAGAACATGGAGGACATCGGCAGTCTGGTGGTTTTCACCCTCCAGGTTTGTCTGAACCATCTGAGAAGCTGTGCACCATAAACAAAAAAGGTGTAACTAGGTGTTGTCTCTCAGGTGCATATCGACAGGGAGTCACCAGGTTACCATGGCAACCTGGAAGTGGAGTTTGATTGGCCAAAAGAGGTGGCCAATGGAAAGTGGTTGCTGTACCTCACAGAAATCCGATTGGATGGTGCCTCAAGTTCTCGCTGCACTCAGTCTGAGATCAATCCCCTCAACCTTTTGGTAATCATAGCAACACCAGTTTCACGCACTCCTACCAAAGTAAAAGCTTGAAAGCATGTTGTATCTAAAGTAGGGATCTAAATCATCGAATAATTCAATAATTGATAGTTGACTCATTTTATCAATCGATGATAAGCAGCATTTTTTTCTGAGAAGCTGAATTTGCCTCTGAATAGGTTCCATCTACTGTATACGTAGCATAAAATGTTGTCTTCTATATGATATGAAGAAAAAATGCAAATCACATTTCTTAATCAAATATTTATTCTGAGCTCACCTGAGGGCGTGGAAGTAGCATGCCAAACATATTCTGAATAGAGAATATAAAAAAAAATCATATTCATGCTGTCTAATCAGCCCCTTGACATGCAGCATCTGTGGGGTGGGATGGATTATGTTGGTAAAGGAAAAGTGCTCACTAACTCACATGCAGACAGAACAGTATTTGAGAGTCATGGGTCTTTTGTGTAGCCAAAATGTTTTAGATGTTTGAGTTCAGCTCATGAAAAATGGGAGCAAAAACAAAAGTGTTGCATTTATGTTTTTAATCAGAGTATTTTGTTCAAGAATATAAGCATATCAACATGGCCTGTTAACAGCTAGCTGCTGAGAATTCTCTCTCAGATGGGAGACGTGCCTGGTATGGCCAAGTACTTTCATGCCAGCCTTGGAAACCTTCCTTCGTTAACTCTCCGCCATGTTGTGGGACTGGAATCATGAAGCGGTGGCAGATCCTTCAGGAAGCTGTCCACCTATTGACTTACATCACTGATGCTCCTGGTGGAATAGTTTTCACCCATGAGTAAAGCATAAGCACTGCATCTCTGAAGCTCAGCTTCCTGGACTGGCACCGCCCCGACCACCTCCTGCTGGCCTCCAACAGCGTCTGCTGATGTGAAGCCCTTACATTCGGATTCTGCTTCAGCCAGAACTTCAAGCAGTCCGGCATGAGCTGGGTTCCTCCAATCCCCAGGTTCTTGAGCCTAGGATGCAGCATAGTTGCTAGCATTGGTGGTGTTGACATCAGGTCATCAAGAACAATATGTGAAGAAAAAGATAATAAATTATATCTAAATGTGATTTTTCTTTAATAATTGTTAATAGGTTAAGTCTTTTATTATTAAATGAATGAACTAGTCTCAATCATTAATAGATTGATTGAAATTAATTATTAGATAAGATAGAATGTGTTAAAAACTACAATTGTCAAACAATGTGCTTTGTGTGCAATACAGTTTAAAAAGTACCTGCATTAATTAAGTTAATGGATTTCATTTTCTTTCATCCTTTCACTCAGAGAAGAGCGAACTCCCCCCTTCCCAACTTTGCTGGCGTCTTCCTAGTCTGTCTTGAAATGCACGTTGATCAGACCTGAGGTGATGGGACGCGTTTCTGATATGGACACCTCAGTCTCAGTGGATGTGACGGTCTTTGCACACTTCCAGCACTGGCGCCACATCTTCCATCAACTGCCAGTTTTCATCTCTCTATTCCAACGTTCTCACGTCTGTGAGTTTGGTTACTGTGCAGTCAGACAGCAGAGCAGAGCTGAGTGCCAGGTGACTTGTGTGGGACTGTTTGCTGAGAGGATATTCCGTGCATTGTTGTGCACACATGCAACTACTCATCCCGTGAGTCCGCATGTTTCCACAGCCTGGTTTAACTTGTCAGCTAAGCCGTATGCCTCACTGTTGCACTCTCTGTGAGTAGGACTGCTGACTTCACCTGCCAGTCCGGTTCAATGTAGTGACAAGTCACTGTGATGTAGCTTTTTGTAGTCAATGATGTCCAGCAGTCTGTTGTGAAGGCCACATTTGCAGCTGAAGTTGTGTTCTCATCTCAGCCTTCTTCCTTGTGTAACTTGCACCCAAGCGAGTGGTTATGGTTGTTCTAGAGGGGAGATTGGACCCTGGCTCAGCGTACTTTATCACTTCTTGAAATCCCTGTCAGTCAACAACATTAATCAGCAGCATGTCTGCAGTAACCATGTTGCATGTTCGCTGGGTAATGCCCTCTGCCTTCGTGGAGTCACATACCCCTCTTCCCAACGCTGTGGTGACTGTAGGCTGAGAACCACTCGCTGTTTGTAGCACGGCTGAATGTGACATACTCAGGTGGTAATTCAACGAAGTTGTGGACTTCTTGTACTTCCAAATACTTCCACATATTGTGAGTTTGGTGTAGTTGTTGTCATTGACCAACTTGAAGTGGCTCCATACTGCACTTTGTTTTGCCCTCTTCATCCTCTCGGTGTACCGTTTCTCCTTTGTCTGTAGTTGTCGTCAGAGCCCAGCTTCGCTTGTGCGTCAAGTACGTCTGGCGTCAAACGCCCCTACGAGGACTGATGGGGAATTACGGGTTCAAAACGCAATCAATTGCAATAAATACATTTTATTTGAGTAATTTCTTACTGACAATTAATCAGTAATCAAATAATAGTTTGCATCCTTAATCTGAAGTTCTCACATTAGGACTTAGAGCACTGGGGATTGTTTAGACTAGAGCATTGTTCAGGGTGGAGACTCTGAGCTTCTGTTTGTTCAGGTGTCACATGAAAGGAAGAGCATGAGGAGGAGTCTGAAAGGACAGCAAGTAGAAGATGCAAAGGAGGAAGAAAAAGGGAGAGAGCTTCCAGCTTTCAGTGTATGGGGACACAAGAACTCATACAAACTGGTAAAGTCTGTATCTTTGTTACAGCTATAAACGTGTTAATGGTTGTACGTTTACCAGCAAACTAATGATCAGAAAAACAAAACTGGTTTTAAAATGAACTTTACACAAAGGGCTAGTCCTGGGAGACTCAGGATTAAATCCAAGCACCATCAGTGGCCAGGATCTAAAAGCTAAACACCTATGGTGACCTCCTACACAATTTAGTGGTTAAAGGAGATTTAAATAATCACCAAAATCACCACAACGTGCACCACCATCAACACCAGCACCCATGATTCTGATTGGTATGAATCTGTGTTCAGCCATGTCGATGAGTGGACGTCAGTGAGCTGTTTCTTTACACGGTTCTGGTTTGGGTTCCAAGAGTCCAAATAAAACATGACAATAACCAACTGTATTACAGAACTGCACTGATGGAGCGAAATGTGTGAAACTGTCTTGTCCTCTGCTCGACACGGACAACGCTGCATTTGTGACGGTCCACAGCCGACTGTGGAACTCCACCATGATTGAGGTAAAAACATTAAGCTCCAAGTTCAGATTGATGGTCACTTCCTGTTTACATCTCATCCCAAGAAGCAGCAAACAAAACACAACCCCCTCAAAAAGACAAGCAGGATGCCACGAAACAAAAAGCACAAAACATAACGGAAACAGGACCCATCATCAAATGAAGAAAACCAGACTTTAGTCTTTGGTGATAAAAGTAAACAAATATCAAGCAATTAACAAAAGACAAACACAAGAAAACCCATTTAATTTTTACTCTCAAATTTCATGTTTTAGGAATGCAAATCGGGTCAAAAAGATTCTCACCTACTTGGTTTTATTCTGCCCTTTTCTGCTTTACCGAGCATTACTCAGTTCCATCTGCTCGACATGTCAAGGCTGCTCTGTTCTATTCTGGCCGATTTCCTTCTGTGTTTGGCCGTTTTTCTGCTCTGCTGAGTATTTCATTCTACCCCACGGTGCTCTATTCAGCTGTTCTACTTTACCATGCTCAGTCTACTCAATTTTACTTTCCTAAAGTCTACTGTAAGATTCTATTCTTTAACTGTTCTATGTTAGCTTCTGTTTTCTTACTCTACTCTGCAGCAGTGGACTCTGCTGGGATGTATTGCTGTAGTGAGCGTGCTGTAGACTGTGTCAGCGGTTTGTGTGCTACAGTTCTCTGGTGACCACTGAGTTGCAGCTTGTTTATGCATTACAACCCTCTGGTGGCTACCAGGATGGTTGCCTCTTTGCAGTCAGACTCTTATCTTTCAGGACTTCAGTGATGCCAGGAGTATTTTGGTCCAAGTCCAGGCTACTCTGAAGCTGAGCACCAAACTAATGACCACCCTGACATCCTACCCATCACTGGTATGAAACTGGTGATTGGATCAAACAGTGTGGTGCTGATGGTTTCCTGAGTTTCTGCTTCCTGTCTGCAGATTGAGGTTTACATTTACCCAGACTCTGCACTGCAGCTGTACTCTGGTGCCCACCTATGGATCATCATAATGTCGGTCCTGGCTGGAGTACTGCTTCTGGCCCTGATCTGCCTGCTTCTCTGGAAGGTAAGCTGAGATGTAATTGGTGGCCAACCATGGGGCACAGATCTGGTTTGAGAATCTACCATAAAGAGCAGCACCCTCATTTCATCACCATAAATCATTCTTTGTGGTTGGTAAAGTGTGATGTTGCCCCCTGCTGTTCAGTGTGGCTTCTTCAAGAGAACCAGCACCAGGGAGCTGTACCAGGCCAAGACCCAAAGAGCCTGCAGGAAGAACCAGCCGTCTGACAGAGACAAGCTGACGAAGGAGCTCTGAAACTGGGCAAGCTGCTGCAGGCTGCTGTAAGACTGGTTACTGATTGGTTATTGACCAGCTGGGCAGGCTGTTGTAAGACTGGTTACTAACTGGTTGACCCATTGGGCAGGCTGTTGGAAGACTGGTTACAGACTGGTTAGTGACCAACTGGGAAGGCTGTTGTTAGACTGGTTACAGACTGGTTAGTGACCAACTAGGCAGACTAATGTAATATTGGTTACAGACTGATTAGTGACAAACTGGGCAGGCAGTTGTAAGACTAGTGGCTAACTGGTTATTAACCACCTGGGCAGGCTAATGTATGACTAGTTACAAACTGGTTACTGACAAACTGGGCAGGCTAATGCAAGACTGTTTACTAACTGGTTGGTGACCAACTGAGCAGGCTGCTATAAGACTGGTTACTAACTGGTTATTAATCAATCAATCAATAAATCAATCAAAGCTTTATTTAAGCGCCTTCCGCAACCCTATCGGGAAGCCCAAGGTGCTGAACATGGTACGAGAGAAAGTTAAATATGGTGAATAAATCGAAAATAAAAGCGATTCAAATTACAAATTACAAAAAAAGGTAAAACATTCTAGTAGAAGACAAATGGGTAAAACAAGGGATAGAGTGAACCAATGAAAACAGGGAAATAAAATCAACATACAAGAGGGCCAAATTCAAACACATTCAGGAAACGCCAAGTGGAGGAGGTGGGTTTTTAGGCGATTCTTAAAGACTGGCAGAGATGGGGACAGCCTAACTGAGGGTGGCAACTGGTTCCAGAGTGACGGTGCTAGGACTGAGAAAGCCCGGTCCCCGCGAGTACGACACCTAGAACGAGGGACAACGAGCAGGCCTTGGTCGGAGGAGCGCAGAGCGCGTGATGGGGAATGTCTGTTCAGGAGTGTGGCCAGATAGGGGGAACACCACCCTAGATGAAATTATAAACAAAGATGCAGAGGCGGAGCTGGCCTAAATGGCGCCCTGTGCGAGATCCCCCTGTGACGCCCCCCCCCCCCCCCACACACACACACACACGAAAAAACATTACACCTACAACTTTGTTTCAAATTGTGTGGAGTGTATATATAACAACGTTTGCTAACTGAATATAACATCCAGCTCCTGGCCACCTTCTCACCACTTGTCAAAGTTCTACTGAAATAGACACACTTAACGCAACATGATGGCATCATCGACTTGTACAGTACAGATGTGCTGAAAGGCGAGAGTCTCAACTTTCAGCTAAAAAAAAGACCGCTCTAGCTATTATAGTTTTTATTTTATGGCAGTTTACAGTTTAAACGGGATCATACTAGCAGGGCACCTCCAGCGGCCCGCTGCCGCTCCGTTTTTCATGGGGTAAATAATAGCTCATTTCCCGATTCCAAAAAGAAAGAATGGTCCTACCAGCTCGCCACTTCAATATGAAGAAGATCAGTTCAACATGGGGAAAAAACCTGACCTGTAGGCCAGAGAAATGTTCATTAGCACATCAAGTTCTATTCAGTTTACCGGTAAACATATCACGAATGTACAACAGGTCAATTATTAATCATCTTGGCTACGTAGCTCAATCTATGCATTCCAGTAGCGTTTGCTACAAACAAATACAAAAACAACAATAAAGGAAAACAACTGTCTGACAGACAGCATAGCCGAATTCAAGGCAACACATAACAATAATAATTCGATTGCTCTTGGTTTCAAGTTAAGCCCATTAAAGTGCTTAAGTAAATAAAAGTGTTTCAAAAACAGCGTTTTTGAACCGGAGTTCTGCTCGCGGTGGGAACTCTGCCGAACAAGGTCATTTTTTATAGCGAAAACGATCGACTGGTCACTGACAAGTAAAAGAGTGTTATTGGTAGATGTTAAGAACACTTACCGCTGAGGTAAAATGAGAGTATAAATGAATTGAGGGGAGAAAAACGCTTTGTTTTCCAACGCCGTTCTACAAGCAACAAGCTTACAGCCACGGCAGGATCAACTTTCATGTTTGCCGCGACTGGAAGGAGCCAATCAGGAGAGGGACCTCACATCAGCTGACGTGGGTCATGTGACAGGGAGTAGTTGATATGGGTTACACTTTGTTGTGCTTTTATTACAGAAATATTATTATTATCATCACTATTATTATTAAGAACAAGCGATTTCTATGTTTTGTTTATGTATTGGTTGATGCTAAAAATAATAATTTTTTTTAGAAAAAAAAAAAAAAAAAAAAGGAAATTAAATGCCGCCCCCTGCAGACTGCCGCCCTGTTCGGCCGCACATGTTGCACATATCAAGCTCCGCCACTGCAAAGATGAGGATTTTGAAGTGTGAACAATAACAGACCGGAAGCCAGTGCAGGGAGGCCAGAACTGGAGTGATGTGGTCCCGTTTCCTGGTCCCAGTCAGGAACCTGGCTGCGCTGTTCTGCACAACCTGTAGGTGATGCAGTGATGACTGACACAACCCTGCATAGAGAGAGTTGCAGTAATTAGCCTGCCCAATTAACCAACTGGGCAGGCTAATGTACGACTGGTTACTAACTGGTTATTGACCTGTTGGGCAGGCTGTTGTAAGACTGGTTACAGACTGGTTAATGACAAGCTGGGCAGGTTGTAAGACTGGTTACAGACTGGTTAGTGACCAACTGGGCAGGGTCTTGTAAAGATAGTTGCTGACTGGTTTCAAAGTTTTCATTGACTGATAGTTTATTAACTAGTCAAGTACTGTTTGTGACTTGTTATAAACAAATATTAACCAGTTGGTATCTTTTTTTTGTGTTGAACAAAAGATAAATTATATTCACTACAAAAGACTGAATAAAGCTGTGATGCAGTCATAAAACACTATTGATCAAGGTGAGTTCAGAACTTGTGTCGTACAGTAAGGTGATTATGCTGAGATGTGTTACCCGTTAGAATGTAGTCCATACACAATGTGTCCCACCTGCTGAAACATACATTTTGGTGTAGAAAAAAAGAAAATGTTTGGTTATACATTTCACAAAACAACTGATCTGTTGTATTTGCCAAATGTGTGACTTTATTTTATTTCCTTACTGCATGCATGGGAAACTTTAGTCATACAAACCATTTTCAATGGGCAACCCACATTTGTCGCATCAGTACGGACAAGTTGGGAGGAGCTACGAGAATACAACAGTCCTCTTATTGTGTTAGACTCACTCCTAAAAATACACGAAAATATAAAAATAAACATTTTACAATCCACTTCATTATAAAACTGGGGACTTCTGCTGACCTATGGCAGCTGGGAGGTTTTCATGAGAGCGATTATTCATTCTAGCCAACCTTTTAAAATGTTTTTAGAACATTCAAACATTTAAAGGTTAAATGCAACATCTGCTGCATGTTTACCTGTCTGCAGTTCACCTGCCTCCCTGTTCACCTATCCGTTCACTCACCTGTCTTCCTCCTGCCTCATCTGTGCTCAGTGCTTCTGTGAGGAAATCAAATGGTTGACTCAAAGTTTTATCTGCAGTGTCGGTTCTTTGCGCACCAGGAGGTGTGGCAGACAGCGGTGGTCCACCAGCAGAAGATTATGGGAAGGAAAGAGCAGCTGCAGCAGCATGCAAAAGATAATGGCTTTCTGATCCAGGATCAAATGTTCTCATCACAGAAACACTGGGCCACCTTTTGAACAAAAACATACTGAGATGTGTGGTACCCTAGGAAATGTATCCCAAGCTGTTTTGAACAGGACCAAATCAAACCAAAACACTGCCAGTTTGCTGTTTAAAACAAAGATTTTGAAGCCTAGTTTAAAGAGTTTAAAGGTCAAAGATGTGAAATGTCTTCATGTTTTCCTTTTATTTATCTTTGTGAACATCTCCACTCATCTGAAAGGATAATGAAGATGCTGAAATGGATCAAAGGGAAGTCTTTTCAGGGCTCTAAGATAAAACAGCAGAAAGCTCTTTGGAAGACCAAACACGGCAGCAGCATCTGAGCTACAATCAACAGAAAAGCCCTTTCAGATGCTGAGAGATCCATGGTTTTTGATTTGTGTGGGATTTTACTTCATGTTGTCCGCACTTGTGATTTTTCTGGTTGTTCCTGACCATAACATTAGTCTATGATGAATAAAAGTAATTTGTTATCATTTACTGGTGTTCTGTTACGTGTCCGTGTTCCTAAAGGACAGCAGATTCTGGGGTGACACAAACCAAACTCAGACCAGAACTTTTATTATCTCTAATGCTTGGTGAAGGTGTTGGTGTGCGAGTTGCTTCTGGGTAAGATCCTACAGGACAAATGTTCAGAGCTATCACTGAGAACAAACACGTTTCCATCTCAGAATGAAGTCCTTATGGCCATCATGGAGGTAATGACTCACTTCAGCTTAAAGGAGATTTCACTCAAAGTGCTTCCTTCAGTCACAAATCCAGTTATTTTCTCTTTTGTTTGTTATTCATGCTTTCCATTAAAACTCTGATCAGCAGAAGGACTCCACATTTTCAGACTACTGCAGCAAGTGTCCAGATGTTCAGGCCGCTGCAACAGGAGTTTTGATCTCGCATCAGACCCACAGCTCCTCTCAAAACCAGCGCTTTGAAAAACATCCAGAATTTTACCCACAATCCTTGGGGTCTATGACACGGTCAGATCCCACTCTTCATTGTCAGCTTCTTCATCGTCCTGAGGCTCTGAGCAGAAAAACTCATTTACCTGAAACATACAAAGATCAGTGTGTAACACACATCCTCATGCATGACCTATCTCTCTCCCACATTCATGCCTGCACAGAATCAGGTGAATTTACCTGCAGGACACCTTCAGTTTCAGCAGATACACACTGATCTTGGGTCTGTTTCAGCTCTACCATCACTTTTCCATTTCCTGCAGAGACAGAGCTAAGGTCAGTTTTCATATATGTCTACACAGAAGTACCACAGTACTACTGTGGTTCTGGTGTGGTGTAGTGTAGTACCTAGTAGTATGAGCAGAACTGTGGAGAAGGCTTGAACCAGAGCTTTCTCCCTGACCAACCTCTGCAGCTGACACCTTCTCTGGAGGACAACATCTGGACCTGCACGCACGCAACACATCAGAACTCTTACCCTGTAATTCCAACATTGGACTGGTTATCAGTCTCATTTCTTCTGTGTGCTCTGATACCAATGAGCACAATGCTCAGCTCTGAGTTCAGTTTTAACAGGAGACAACAACAGCTAACGATCTCTGCAGAAGATGAACTGAGTCTTTAGCGGAGTAGCGGTACATCCAGTCTAATCTATTTGCATAAAACAAAAAACACAAACTTCAAGGAGGCCGAGCTTTTTCTGTCATTGGTCCCAGACTGTACAATGACCTGCTCAGTGTAAAACACGCTGATTCGCTTATGGTCTTGACATCACAGTACTCACCTGTGCAGCTAAAGCTGTCCTCAACCACCGCAGCTCCTCTGGTCGTCAGTCCATGTTGAGAGAAATTTAGCTGCATCAAACAACCGAACCTCAGATTCTTCTGTCTGACTCCTCCCACTTCATCCTCCTCATCCTCACTTTCGTCTTGGCTGAGCTCCTTCAGCTGTGAGGTAAACGCAGAATGTGTTCACTAAGGACCCCAACAGCAGAACCTGGTCCACGCTGCACTGATTAATACTCATCATGAAAATCAATGAAAACATGAAACAAGCGATGACACATAACTAAACTACTGGGGACGTTAGACGGCCCTATCCATCACCTCAGACTCAGGTGTGTGTTCAGGTGAAAGAGAGACAGGAAATCTCCTGTGCTCGTTGTCTCGCCTGAATGAACACGTGACATGCTTGTTTCTTACTGTGATGATGTCAGAGGTCCAGCCGTTGTAACCCAGGCAGTGATTGGCCAGTTCCATGCAGCGGGAGTGGCTCAGAGGTGTGCTTCTGCCACACTGGAAGTGAGAAGCCTGCTTTGAGCTCTGCTTCACCTGAACACAGAGATGGGTGAGTCTCAGATGACTCATTATACAGTAGATGCGTTCATCTCTGTCATCTAGTAACAATTATTTCCACCAAGTAGTTCCAGAGCGCAGCCACTGCTGCAGCTCCCCACTCCCCACAGGGATGAGTCATGTGTGAAGATGTAATATAACCAGTGTGTGATGAGTTAAACTTCAATTGGTTGATTAAATACTCTGATAAACTGAAGGGCACCTTGAGGGGGGAGTTGTGGAACAGCAGGAGTCCGTTGGTCTGATGCTGAGCCTTGGAGGCGTGAGCAGCAGAGTAGAACTTCACCAGCGAATAGAAACCAGGTGGGTGGAGTGGCGCGTTATGAAACACCTTCAGCAGGTAGAGAGGCCCGAAGGATGAGAAAACCGCAAACAGCCCCTCCTGAAACGAGATAAGCCTTCTCAAAAAGCCTCGCTGTGTGCAGATGTTACAGAAACAGGCCCCAACTAGTTCTCTCATGACTTTGGCTGCTTTAAATGACACTTCATCATTCTGGATCATGTTCACATTTCTAGCTGAAACAGTAGAAGTGGGATCAGATCCATCTAGGTCTTTGGACAGAAGGACCTAAAACTCTTCCTCTGGCAATGAAGCAGATACCATCAAAGACTCGAATCAGGATCTGAGGCTCTATTTTTTTACCTGACAGTAAACTTCTCTCTCTCTCACACACACACACACACACACACACACACACACTCTCTCTCACACACACACACACACACACACACACACACACACACACACACACACACACACACACACACACACACTCCTCACTCAGAGCATAATTATCTGCAGCTACAATAAGAACTGACTTTTCCCACTTCTGGCTGTGCTTAATCAGAACACACACCTGGATGCTCGTGATAGGTTGTTCTATACACAAGTGGGTTGGTCAGACCCAGGTAGGGTGACCAGATGTCCCGCATTTTTATTACTTTTCACGTATCCCGCAAATTGAGACTCATGTCCCGCATAGTTGACAGTTTCCCGTTTCGAGTTTCAATCTTATAGAAGAAACTGAGGACAAATCTACCTGTTGCTGTCAATCAAACGAAGGCGGGACTTCATTGCAGATTCGGAGCGTGTGTGGAGCGCGCGCCCGAACCACCAAAACAAGCGTGAGTGAGCACGGAAGAGAAAATGCTGTAAAGTCGTGAACTGAACGTGTTCAGAGACACTCGACAGAGTCTTTGTTTTTTCTGAGTCATTCTTTCAAGTCCTGGTGCGGATTCTGATGTGAAGAGGTCAAAAGCAGGTTTTCCAGTAATTAGACAAGTCCATGATAAACACAATAGAGGTTCTAACACAGACAAGGGGCTGAGCCCTTAAAAGCACAGTGAAGAAATAATGAGAGAATAAATGGAAGCTTTGATCACTTAATCTCAGAAATTTGATGCAAAAAGTAACTAAGGAACTATTATTAGATTAGATCTGAATGTTTTAGATAGTAGAATCGGATGTTTATTCTCTCACCTAAAATCTAAGAGATGTGTTGTCATGTTTACAAAAATGTGTTTCAGATTTATGAAAATATAGCAAAAAAGTATGGATATTTTTCTATGAGATGCTGATTTTAGTGGAAAATTAATTAAAAACAAACATAAATAGATCTAAAAATTAGTGCTTTTACTGTCATTCTGTTGTGGAAAACATTCAATGAAAACTCTGAAAAGCTGCTTAAACCTGCATTTTTTTATTTTTATTGTTGGCCTATCTATATTATTAAAATGATCAGAGCCACTGCAGTTATGTTGTGGTAACTTGAGAGGAACTGTGAAATAGAAAAGCTTTTGCTGTGTTTGTTCATGTTGAATTCAAATAAAAGAAATATAAGAATATAATTTTATGTAAATGTAACAGTGATGTTAGGCCTAAAAGGCAGAATATACGTTTAGTTTGATTTTCTCATTACATTAGAACTTCACGTTGTCCCACATTGTTTCTCTGTCCCACATTTGGCAAGCTGGGATCTGGTCACCCTAACCCAGGTGAGTTGATTTGTTGCGTGTGTGTAAAAAAGCTTCCTATATATTTTAATTTATTTTCTTTTTTATATTTTATTAAATATGATGCTGTTATGATTCCATCTTAAAGATCAGCAAACTGTTTTGATTCTTTTGGTTTAATTCCTTCCGGTGACAAGCTGAGTATGTTCCTCTGTGGTGCCGTCTAGTACCCGTGAAGCTACCTAAACCTTTTAGTTCTGCTAATTTAACTCATTCACTGCCATTGATGACAAACTGATCATATTTCTCAGGTGTGGGTCTGTTTCCACGTGACCTGCTACACAGACACAACCACCCCTAGAGTCTCGATCCTCACTGATCTCAAGCGCTGGTCATCCCGCTCCAGACCCGGTCTGGAGGACTTACATAGATCTGAGCTTCCGTCAGAGCCGGCGAAATGTCCCACACAAACAAGGCTTTGTTGTTCTCCACCGGAACTCGGAACTCCAGCACGTCCACCTCCATCACATCGGTAACAAACTATCCCCACTGGGGCACCTTTCACAACAAAACTGATTCAAAACAGTTTTCTGCTGCACAACACACGGATCACTTCGGAAATAACGTCATTCTCAACACCTGCAAACGAAAAAGATTTAGAAAAACAAACTTTAGCCTTAAAAGTGTCAACACGCAGTTAAAGCTCGTTAAAATGGTGGGTTTTCAACTACAGTTTGACGAACCGTAGACGGTAGCCAGCTTAACCGGATATCCCGCGCTTCCGTTTAGAGGCGGGGTCTGCCACAGTAACTCAATAGACATGATGTCATTTTACTTACGTCATGTCTGCCATCCTCGCCCCTGATTGGCTGGAAATGCTGGGTTATTTTATATACCAGCAAACCGTCTTCCCTCGCTGCATATATATATATATATATATATATATATACAACAGAAAAATATCAAGTGTGAACTATTTTTGCATTTATCACATTGTTAGACTGACTTATTTATATTTGTTGGCTCTCAAATACTGAGGTTATGTTGTCCTATGTTCTCAGTTTGAATAAAATAACCAAAAATGCTTGAGAACCAACAGATACGTCATTCCAACCGTGTGATAAATACAGTAGTTCACATTTTACGTTTTTTTTAATAATAAAACTATTTCACAAAACTGGACAGAATGGTTATTGTAGCTCTAAGTTCGCATTTTCTTTACAAAACTCCCAGTCTGCATTAGCGAGGACAACGGTTTGCTGCAAAATGAAATAGCCAATCGTAGGAGAACCCTTCTAGCCAATCAGGGGAGAGAAAGTCAGGCTCTTCCCTGGACATCTTACGAGTCCAAATCACGCCTTCCACTGAGGCAAAGATAATGACGCAACGCAAGCTCCTTGTGGAAAACGAAACTGACGTTAGTTCCACAACCGAAACAACTGCTGGCCCTCCCAGCAAAAGCCAGTGTTAATAAATCATATTAATGTTCACTCAAACCATAAACGGATCTTATTTATTCAAGACATAATTGTAAAACAAAATAAAATTATACAATTAATGCGTAAAGAAATAATCAGAATAAAAAATACATGTTTCTGTTGCTCACTATTAATTTTTTTATCTCCATAGATTTTTGTGAACACAGCAACAAGTGAAACTAAAAAAAATACAGTTTAAAATAAAAATTGAAATAGCATTTTAAGTAACTGAAATGTGTTTTTTTTAAATGTTTGTTAAATAAGTTAAATGTTTTGGATACATACTGTTTTTATTTCTTTTATAAAAAAAAGAACAAAGAAGCAATACATCAGGCTAAACTCCCAGAGTTACCACAAGGACCAATTTGGTGTGTCACCCCCCACCCGGCTACACCTATCAAAATATTCTGGAGGCGCCCCTGAAAATGGGAACACAATATAAGAATCAGAGATAATATAATATAATATAATATAATATAATATAATATAATATAATAATAATAATTAATAATAATAATTATTATTATTATTATTATTATAAACATTTAACAGTGGTGTTCAGTGTCAAACAACATAAAATGCATAAAAGATAAATTAAATAACTAAATTTTGCATATCTCTGGTGTCACTATAGCTAAAAAAACCCTCTATCATCTCATTAACAGAAGGTTTTAATCTACATGTTCATGTGTGCGTGAAAAAAGCTCCTTATGCATCAAATCCAGATACACAGCTAGTACAATGCAATAGTGACTTTTTCTACCAGGGAAAACTGAAAATAATTCTAAAAGCATCTTTCTTATGCCTCTTTTAGTTTCTTATTGTTTCGTACTGAAAATGGCATCATACATGATCCAAATAGAGAGAAGTACAGTAAGCCTATATCTCACCCCCCATAAACATTTGAGCTCACACTTTGCAGCATTGGTCCTGTATATCATCGTCACTGTCAATGATGGATGGGTGGATGGATGGATGGATGGATGGATGGATGGATGGATGGATGGATGGATGGATGGATAGATAGATAGATAGATAGATAGATAGATAGATAGATAGATAGATAGATAGATAGATAGATAGATAGATAGATAGATAGATAGATAGATAGATAGATAGAGAGATGAGATAGATAGATAGAGAGATGAGATAGATAGATAGATAGATAGATAGATAGATAGATAGATAGATAGATAGATAGATAGATAGATAGATAGATAGATAGAGATAGATAGATAGATAGATAGATAGATAGATAGATAGATAGATGAGATGATAGATAGATAGATGAGATGATAGATAGATAGATAGATAGATAGATAGATAGATAGATAGATAGATAGATAGATAGATAGATGAGATAGATGAGATAGATACTTTATTGATCCCAGGTTGAGAAATTGCAGTGTAGCAGCAGCATTACACACATTAAGACAGTTTAGAATAATCACAATATAAATATGGATGAAATGTATGAAACATGAAAAAGCTTACTGACTGTATTTTATGAACCATAGCTTAGTTGTTGCTATTGTACAATATTGTACACATGGTAGGAAAGACTTCCTGTATCTATCCCTTCGACAGTGGAGCTGGAGCACCCTGAGCGAGAGGATGCTCCTCTGTCGGTCTACTGTGTGATGGAGAAGGTGCTGGTCATTGTCCATGATTAAGTTTATTCAGCATCCTCATCTCCACCACGGTCTCCTAGGTGTCCAGTCTGAGACCAAACACATGCCAGCCTTCTTAATGTTCTTATAGGTCTGTTGGTGTCGCTGGCTATGTTGCTGCCCCAACACATGACAGCAAAGAAGATGGTGCTGGAGACAACAGACTGGTAAAAGATCTCCAACATCTTGCCTGACACTTTGAAGGATTTCAGCTTCCTCAAGAAATAGTCTGCTCAATCCCTTCTTTTGCACAGCGTCCATGTTGGAAGCCCGGTCCAGTCTGTTGTCTATCACAACACCCATGCCTGCAGTTCTCCACTTCTTCCACAGCCTCCCCTGATCTGCTGTGGCTGTGAAGGTGTCCTCTTCTTCCTGAAGTCAACTACCCTCTCTCTGGTTTTACTGACATTCAGCCTCAGGTGATTCATCATCATCATCATCATCATCATTATCATCATCCTCCTCCTCCTCGTCCTCCATCATCATCATCATCATCGTCGTCTTTATTATCATCGTCATCATCATCGTTGTTGTTGTTGTGATCATCATCATCATCCTCGTCGTCGTTGTCTTCTTCATCATCATCATCATCATCATCACCCTCCTCCTCATCGTCGTCGTCGTCTTCATCATCATCATCCTCGTCATCGTCTTTGTCGTCATCTTCATCATCATCATCATCATCATCCTCCTCCTCATCGTCGTCGTCGTCTTCATCATCATCATCATCATCACCCTCCTCCTCATCGTCGTCGTCGTCTTCATCATCATCCTCGTCGTCGTCTTCGTCGTCATCATCATCATCATCATCCTCCTCCTCATCGTCGTCTTCATCATCATCATCATCATCATTATCATCATTTCTGATTATGCACACCAAGCATTTTACTTATGCATCAAATTTAAAACCTGATCAACCCAAAAAAGAAGGAAATATTGTCTTTTGGTGAACATTTAGGCTCTACATTTCACTGTGATCAAATTCTAACTTAACACACCGAACTGTCTGTCCCTCTGTTCATCTGACCCCCTCACCTTAAATTTGAGGGTTTGACTTAACTGAGGAGTCAAAGTGAGAAGAACCTGATCTGGTTATCACAAAGGCACAATCTAAAATAAGTGTTTTTAGTAGACCTTATTTCATTAGAAAGCCTGATTATTCACCTTTACTAAGAGATAGAAATTGTGAGGGTTACTATGAGCAAAACAGCTAAATGTGTGGGGATAATAGAGGGAATCAGAGGGGATTGTGGGATATTTTGTTGCACAATTATCTGCTGTTCACAGATGAACAATCCTTTGACATTTCAGATAATTTACTACCAAGATTGTTGTGAGGACTATTTTCAGCCAAATGCTGTTGTCTCTATTTTTAAATGTACTTTTAGGTTTATTTTTTACTAGAGAAGAGATTTGGTGCTCTGAACTTTGGCAAAGCTGTTGTTTGTAATGTTTTGCAGACAAAAAAACTAATGCTGTCATTCGAGTAATCCTATTTATTCTGAATTTATTTGTCTCTTATTATATTCTCAGTTTTGGATGTGAACTTCAGTCCAACAAAAAAGATAAGGGTTGATGAGGTCCAGAATAAAAGCGGTGCAGGTTCGTGATGCTGTCTACTGCTAAACCTGTTTTATTTAGACTTTTTTCTTTACATTCATCTTTCTGTTGCAGTTGAAATGGAAACTAAGTAAGTACGGCCTGAGGAGGGTTTTCCTCCGCACATTTCATCACATCATGCTGCTTTTTATTTCTGTCTAAATGAGATGCGGGAGTCCACTTCCTGCCGTTTGTCTCATCTTCGCTGTAAACCTAAACTGAAGCTTTCGTGGTTAAACCGCATCCTGATCCTCTGACACACTGAACAATTTTACCTTGAACAACAAATTAACCAAAGCAGAAGGGTGTGGACTTGTCTGTCCATACGCTGTGGGGAAAAGTTTACACAGCATTAGCTGATTGGGCTTTTTCACAGATGAAAACGTAACCACTGTGTCAGAAAGTTAACTTCTGCTGAGAAAGAATGAAAATAATTGATAAATGTTGTCTCCTACTTGTTAATAACTTAAAGTTCCTCTAAAGGCACTGAACCTGATGATGACAAAGATTTATTTAAATAGTGTTCTCACAAGCCCTAAACTATAGACCCAATATGAACTATGACATGGACAAAACTGTTGGTACCCTTCGTTCCATGAAAGAAAGACCCACAAAGGTCACAGAAATAACTTGAATCTGACCCAAGCAATAATAAATAAAACTTCTATAAAATTTTACCAGTGAAAGTCAGACATTGCTTTTCAATGTATGCTTAAACAGATTCACATATATAAAAAGTAAACTCATGGAACAGGCATAGACAAAAAGGATGGCACCCCTAGAAAAGCCTGAAAACCACAGGGACGTGTTAATTCTAGGTGTGCCCACTAATAAGCATCACAGGTGTCTATAACCTTGTATTCAGTCAAAGGACCTATATCCCACAGATCACAACATGCCCTATAGGTTATAAATTGTAAGTCGCTTTGGATAAAAGCGTCTGCTAAATGAATAAATATAAACAACATAAACATATCTAGGGCTCCA